ATCACATTCTCCATCCAAAAAGAGTCTCTGTCCTTGATCCCAGATGTGTTGGAAGATCCTCAATTTCATCCAAGAGACTCCTGCTCCTTGCGGACTCTCACACTAAAGGCAGCCTTTCTTCTGGCCATAACCTCTTCAAGCATTGGAGAACAGAAAACCTTATCTGTGCTTACTTTATCATTGAAGGCTTAGGATGTGGGCCCTGTCATTTGAAGACGTGGTGGATTCGGGGCTTCCACATGTACTAGATGTGGGAACGGTTCTCAGTCTATATTGACAAGACTGCAGCACTGAGATATGCAGATAACCTGTGGACATCCATTTTTGCAATATCAGTGACCAATATTGTGAAACAATCCAAAGGGTTCAAATCATCAAGGGGGTTGATCTTCACGTAGGCCTTAAGGTGCACACCCCAAGAATGATGCCTTCATTGTGGGCAGCCTTCAAAAGTGTCTTGACAGAAGTCACCTGCAGGGCAGCATTTTGGCCATCATACAGACCTTCTAGTCCCAACATCAGGCAGAACCAGTATTTCTGCAAGGGTCCAGTTTGAGAGAGCGTTTCTTCTGCGTTGTTTTTGTGAAATATTTTTTGCTACCAGGAAAACTGTATACTTACCTATCAGTTATTTTCCTTTGCTGGCACATAAACCTGTCTGGCAGCATAGGAGTTCTTTGATGGAGGAGAGGAGGACTTGGGGTTTAGGTTACAAATATGTAAATGTAGAAAGGTTTCATCAGTAACATCTCCTTGTTATTTCTTGACTTGACTACTGTAACTCCCTCCTTATAGGCCCACTGTCATGGCCAAAAATCTTGTCCTCCCTACATTTCTGTCAGATAATGCACCACTTCACCCCCAAAAATTCTTGAAATTACAAATATTTCAGCATTCTCATGTTTATTTCTTTTGTTTGTATCGGTAGGACACAAAAAGCAGAGACACAAAAAGCCAAATCTGACACATTCAAAGCAAAACCCCCAAAATGGACTGGACAAAGTTATTGGCACCCTCCATGTAATATTTGGTCGCACACCCCTTGGAAAAAATAACTGAAATCAATGGCTTCCTGTAATAATAATCAATGAGTTTCTTCCACCTCTCTACTGGAATTTTGGATCACTCTTCTTCCACCAACTCCTCCAGGTCTCTCAGATTGGAAGGGTTCCTTTTCCCAACTGATGTTCTGAGATCTCTCCACAGGAGCTCTATGGGACGGAGATCTGGACTCATTGCTGGCCAGTTCAGTCCTCTCCAGCGCTTTGTCTGAAACCATTTCTGGGGGCTTTTTGACGCGTGTCATTGTTCTGCTGGAAGACCCAGGACCTCTGACGGAGACCCAACTTTCTGACACCGGGGCCCTACATTGCACCCCAGAATTCTTTGGTAGCCTTCAGATTTCATAGTGCCATACACATGACCAAGACCTTTTGGTCTTTGATTTTGCATTTCCAGGTAGGGGGTAGGGGCGGACGGACCATTCGAGCATTGCCCGGGGGCCCCATGAAATGCCCCTGGTACCTTTTTTATAGGCTTTTTTTTTTTGTTGTGGGCAAGGATACAGGGGCCCCATGATCCCCTATTGCCCGGGGGGCCCCATGAGTTGTCAGTCCGCCCCTGGTAGGGGGCATGCATGAGGTTAGTGATTGCCGAGGAGCTCCGTCGGGGGGGGGGAGAACTCTTAGTAAACAAAACAGTTCTCCTCCCTGTCAGCTCCTGCACACTGCTTTGCATGGCTGTGCACAACAGTGAAGCACACACACACAGCACATGATGTAAAAGGCACACAGTTAACCCTTTCATCCCCCCAGATATAAATCCCCTTTATTCCTAGTGCCATTAGTACAGTGTCAGTGTTTTATATTAGCACTGATCACTGCATTGGGGTTACTGGGGATGTCAGTGACACCAACTTAGTCCCCCCCCCCCTCCAGTGGCAGAATGCCCACCGCATTCCCGCTATAAGTCCCTGATCTCCGCCATTACTAGTAAAAGTTAAAAAAAAAAAATCCCAGTGTATATATATACCGCCATTTGTAGACACTCTAACTTTCATGTTAACCAATTAATTTATACGTATTCAGTTTTTATTTAACAAAGACACGGAGCAGAATACATTTTGGCCTAAATTTGATTTTTTTTACATTTTTTATTACTAGTGTAACAAACCTTACCCTGTGCAGGGCCTATGTTCACCCACACGGGAATTCACAGGTGTTCCGTGCATCTCTGTGCAGGCAGCCCCATTGATGGTTATTGGGGGACAGCGGCTGCACAGACACAGTGGCAGCTCCCGATCCGATATCCATGCAGGTGCACAGGCAGCGCAAGTTAGGGGACCTGCGCCTGCATGGATGTTAGACTGGGAACCTACCACTGTGCCTGTGCAGCCGCGCTGTGACCCAATAACCATCAATGGGACTGCCTGCACAGGGATGCATGGAACACCTGTACATCCCCCATATAAACAAGGCCGAAGGGCCGGTTCACACCACAAAAACACACTCCGGATGCGTTCCAGGTGCATTACTGCTTACAGTTCACACACCACCAGGGGCGGACTGACCATTTGGAAACTCTGGCACTGCCCGAGGGCCCGGGGTCAGTAGGGGGCCCCATGAGATACCCCTGGTACCTTTTTTATAGGCTTTTTTGAGTTTGGGCAAGGACACGGGCCCCTTGATCCCTATTGCCCGGGGTCCCATGAGTTGTCAGTCCACCCCTGCACACCACACTTCGTTCCCATGCATTTTTTATATTGTATGTTTTGCTGTGTTCCAGTGGAGTTCTGTACAGAAAAAATGCAGCACGTTCTATTTTTTTTTTTTGCACCAGAAACTGACTGCATCGGTGTAAACTAGGGCCATTGCAATACATGGAAAACAATGTGCATGCATTTCTGATGCAAAAAAAAAAAAAATGCACTGGACTGCATCTGGTCTGAACTGCCCCTGTCTCATCAGCTGCTAAACTTGAGTTTAGGAGCTTTTGGCATTTTTTTTTGCCAAAGCTCCTAAACTCAACTCCATAAAAGCCTGTGTGTCCATTTACATATAGGCTTTAAGCAGAGTTTAGCAGCTGCCGCAGTTAGGTGATGCTGAAAGTCCTTCTCCTGAACGCAGATGAATCGCGTTGAGCATAGCAACGTTTTGACCGCATTCCACGGGAAACCGCAAAACTGCGTTTTGCCGGGTTTCACGTTTTCCTGCGGCCGGTTGGTCAGGGTAGGCTCATGTACATGGAGCCTAAGAAAGAATAAGGTAGACGGCCTCAGAGTCTTCCCCAAAAGCAAACCAGGACCAGCAGCTCCCACATCTGTATCCTGACCGGTCTTCTACAGTATAAATAGACCAGAGCTGGACAAATTTGCTTTGGATCTAGGAGCCAGCTAAAAAAACGTTAGGAGCCATTTTTTTTTTTTTTTAAAGTAACAAAGCTTTATTTTCAATGCTGGAGAGCTCATGCCAGGAGAGAGGTTTGGCCATAGAGCACAGGGGGGGTTGTTGGCAAAGAGCACAGGGGGGAGCCAGACAGTCAGACAATGCCCTGCATCCCCACGTTGGAAGTATATTCATGCGATGCCAGGCTTGAAGAACTACAAATACTTGCATGCCCAACCAGCATGTACTGAGTGCTGCAGCTCCTTCACAGCTAGAAACCCAAAGGTGGTCTCCATCCTCAACACATCATCCACAGTCGCCTGATTTCTGATGCCCCCCCAAACCTCACCTGAGCCCCTTAATATGGGGGGCACAACTGAACCTCCTCAGGCTGCCATTGTTGGTAATCTCCACGTCCAGCTCCCCTCTCTCTCCTGAGCCATGATGGCAGTAGTGATGCTTTACCTGGTCCTCCTCCTCCCCAGTAGAAAGACTTCATTTCATTAGACAAGCTCAGGGTTCCATCCTCCAGCCTCCCGAGACCCCTACTCGATCAGGGAGGATGATTCGACCACTTTCCTGCCGCCCACCGCACTGCGTGAGGTCAAGAAAGCCCAGCTCAGCCCACCGCCTCAGCCAAGATCTCCAGCCTTCCCTACTCCCGAGACTAAGCAGCGCCCAGCACGCATGCCCACAGCTGATGATTAAGTGCCGAGGACGGCCCCAGAGTGCTGAGAGGAGACACTTCCGGACAGTAAATGGGCCGACAAAAGAACAGGTGCCAAGATGCAATTTCCAGTCGCCATGGCGACCTGGTGCCTGCGATTTGTCAAGCCCTGAAATAGAAGATGTGACGTCTGATGGACGTCTGATGGCTCAGTTAGCTATGATTGGGTTGTGTGCTTCCTCCATGCAGCTGCCATGACATCAGATATTATTAATATTGTATTGCTTTCATTTCATAAGAATGTATTTGATTTGCATATATTAATCATTTTCCGTCTTGACATCACATCTCGATAGATGTCACATGACCGTGTGCAGAATTACAATCGGATTACAAGCGCTCATTACTGCAAAGGAGAAAATTCAAATTTTATTCGCAATTCTTCCGGCGGTTCTACCTATGACCCATTGAGCGCAGTCACCCCCCTCTTCCCCCAGCTGCACATAGGACCATGCCAAGGGTTCGTCAGAACAGGCGGCCGCCTTTGGTGCTTCAGCAGGACAGAGAACAAAAAGGGCAGCACCGGCAACCTATCCTGCTGAAGCAGATGGCGGCTCATGTGGGGGTCACTTTGGCCGTTTTGCCCCGCCTGTTGTCCTCCCGCTGGTTACGCATACGGAGTTTACAGGTTCCAAAGCAACCATGCCATTCCTTCTATGCATCTAACCAACCTCTTCTATTATCAGGTATATATATTCAAGGAGAAATAACGGAAAACAGTCATCATTACAGTCACTCTCCGCGTCTGGTGACATGAGAAGAGCATGACAGAGGTAGAGCTACCAATCACAGGGCAGAGGATTCTGGGAAATCCCATCCAGTGGGCACCCTCGACACCTCTGTGTATCAGATGCCTGTGTCTATTGGCAGACGTGGTTTCACCTTCGCAGTCAGTACGTCGGAGAGCTCAGGATGAACAGGCGATCCTCTTCTTTGCGGATCCAGCGCAGCAGGCGGGAGACCCCGTTCACAGCTGATGATTTTGTCCCCAAGGGACTGAAACAAACGTAGAGCTCGAATGCCTCTGTCACCTGCAGAGAGGAGAGTGATAAAGGTCACAGAGACATCAAGAATTACTGAGAGGAAAATATAGCTGTGCACTTCCTGTGCCTAGGCACTCCGGATATCGGTGCACTTCCTGTGCCTAGGCCCTCCGGATATCGGTGCACTTCCTGTGCCTAACCACTATGGATAACGGCGCACTTCCTGTGCCTAGGTACTCCGGATTACGGTGCACTTCCTGTGCCTAGGCTCTCCTGGATACGGTGCACTTCCTGTGCCTAACCACTATGGATATCGGTGCACTTCCTGTGCCTAGGCACTCCGGATATGGGTGCACTTCCTGTGCCTAGGCACTCCGGATATGGGTGCATGAGATCATCTAGGGCACTACTGCCTATAACTGCTAATCTCATCAAATTTGGAGTGAGATTGGGTGATATCACTACTAGGCTAATCACTGTTTTCCTTGCTGGAGAGGAAGCTGTACCTGGGAGCCACCAGTGGAAGGATCTCTCTGCTTATGTTTCATTCTGTGGATCTGTGCTTCCCCCACTATTATGACTCCACCAGTCTTCATGGGGCAGAAGAAGCAAAGTCCACAGTCCAGCCTCTAACAAGACAGCCACTTTTACAGAGACATAGCAAGTGAGTAATGAGGAACATACCAGTTACAGGGAGAGGATAGGAAATACTGGGGACTTTGCCATCTGTTTGCCTTTTTTTGGGCACGGCTCCCTGTTACTACTGCTAGCCTCTGGAGACGTGGAATGAGATTTAGCGATGTTACTAATATGCAGCTCATTGTTCTGGTTGGAGGAAGCAAAGACTTGCCTCTAACCAAGATGGCTGCCCTCATGCAGAACAACTGTAACAGGTCAAAGGGAGGGCCAAATGAAAAATCCTTAGAACTCCAAAGTCTTCACTGTTCAACTGTTTACAACAAGCAGGGCAAAAGGTGACCACCGCATTTTGGTGACCACAATCCCAGGGGGGGGGGGGGGGATTCTACTTCTACTGGGAACACAAGTAATGGCTGCTGTTTATAACATTCCCTGCAGGAGTACTTTTGAGTCCATTTACCATGCTGCCGTGTCACCCAGCCTTGATGAAGGGGGATTGTGTGGCCCCTGAAACAGGTCGGCTTTCTTTTGCTCTGCTTGTTGGAACTGAACAATAAAGATTTAGGACTCCTAAGGATTTTTCATTCTCTTTCTTACTACACTTAGATTTCTCAACTCGGGTAAATGTCCTCTCCTGAGGAGGGGGGGGGTCCCTGTCTTTGTGGTGAGCTACTGAATACAGGCCAGCTGGGCTTTAGAGGAAGCTCCAGTAAGGATTGGGGTGGGGGGGCCGCTGCATACAAATTTGTTTTAACTTCATGCATGAAATACACGAAAGTACAAAGCCTTGAGCCTTTAGAACCACTTTAACCTCTAACAAAAAAAATAATGATATTTAATAAATAAATAATAAATTAATCCCTAACTCTTAACCCCCCCAAAAAAAGTAAATCAATAAATTAATCACAAACCCTAACCCTTAATCCAATCCCCCCCCCCACCCCCCCCCCCCAAAAAAAAAAAAATAAAGTAAATTAATCCCTAACCTCTAACAAAAAAATTATATTTAATAAAGAAGTAAATAATAAATTAATCCTGAACTCTTAACCCCCCCCAAAAAAAGTAAATCAATAAATTAATCACAAACCCTAACCCTTAATCCACCCCCCCCCCAAAAAAAAAACAAACAAAAAATAATAAAGTAAATTAATCCCTAACCTCTAACAAAAAAATGCTATTTAATAAAGAAGTAAATAATAAATTAATCCCTAACTCTTAACCCCCCCCCCCCAAAAAAAAAAGTAAATCAATAAATTAATCAAACTCTAACCCTTAATCCACCCCCCACAAAAAAAAAAATTATAAAACAAATAATAAAGTAAATTAATCCCTAACCTCTAACAAAAAAATGATATTTAATAAACAAGTAAATAATAAATGAATCCCCAACTCTTAACCCCCCCTCCCCAAAAAAAAAAATAAGTAAATCAATAAATTAATCACAAACCCTAACCCTTAATCCACCCCCCCCCCCCCAAAAAAAAAAATAAAGTAAATTAATCCCTAACCTCTAACAAAAAAAATATATTTAATAAAGAAGTAAATAATAAATTAATCCCTAACTCTTAACCCCCCCCCCCAAAAAAAAGTAAATCAATAAATTAATCACAAACCCTAACCCTTAATTCACCCCCCCCCCAAAAAAACAAACAAAAAATAATAAAGTAAATTAATCCCTAACCTCTAACAAAAAAATGCTATTTAATAAAGACGTAAATAATAAATTAATCCCTAACTCTTAACCCCCCCCCCCCAAAAAAAAATCCACCCCCACAAAAAAAAATTATAAAACAAATAATAAAGTAAATTAATCCCTAACCTCTAACAAAAAAAATGATATTTAATAAATAAGTAAATAATAAATTAATCCCCAACTCTTAACCCCCCCAAAAAAAAAAAAAAAGTAAATCAATAAATTAATCACAAACCCTAACCCTTAATCCACCCCCCCCCAAAAAAAAAAAAAAAAAAAATAGTAAAGCAATTAAACCCCCCCCCCCCCAACAAAAAAATAAATATTAAAATTTAATAAGTAAATTATTTCATGAACTAAATAAATAAATAATAAATAAAAAATAAATAAATAATAAGGAAAGGCTGACCAAAAAAAAAAGCATGAAGCAGATGATATTTTTTCTATTGGCTATTAAAAAAAAAAACACTCAAAAAGGAGCTGCTCAGGTGTGAATGCGGGCTAACACTACCTAGGCATGGTAAATCAGCAACGGGGAACTGGCCAGCTGCCTGGAACCCACTGGTGTTACTGGTGACCAGCCCTTTGACCTCTGGCCCGCAATTTTTTGGGCACAGATTCCGGAGTACAGGTCCTCTTTACTGATATTGTACAATGAAGATCATACTATGGGTCACATACTTCTTCCCGGCAGCCTGGTTTAAAAATCTGCTCTGTATCCTGGGAGTTTATTACAGTTTCTAGTTGGGGAGAACAGTGGCGTCCCAAGGCAGGTGCAGGGGGTGCGGCCCGCCCCGGGTGACACCGACCGCATGGGGTGACACCGGACCCACTCCAAGAAAAGGTAAGTTGTAAAGAAAGCCGACGATCCCCGCAGAATGGATGGGATCTGCGAATTGGGGAGCATAATGGATCGGATTCTGATCCATTATGCTCAATCCGCAGATCTGAACCATCCTGCGGGGATCGCCGGCTTTCTATACAACTTACCTTTTCGTGGAGCGGGTCCGGTGTCACCCCGTATAGGCTGTATGCTGACAATCCCGGCAGGATGGATGGGATCTGCGGATTGGGGAGTATAATGGATCGGAGTCTGATTCATTATGCTCAATCTGCAGATCCGATCCATCCTGCGGGGATCTTCGGCTTTCTTTACAACTTACCTTTTCTTGGAGCGGGTCCGGTGTCACCCCGTATAGATTGTATGCCAACGATCCCGGCAGGATGGATCGGATCTGCAGACTGAGCATAATGGATCGGTGTCCGATCCATTATGCTCCCCAATCTGCAGATCCCATCCATCCTGTGGGGATCATCGGCATACAATCTATACGGGGTGACACCGGACCCGCTTCAAGAAAAGGTAAGTTGTAAAGAAAGCCGAAGATCCCCGCAGAATGGATCGGATCTGCGCTGATTGGGGAGCATAATGGATCGGAGTCTGATCCATTATGCTCAATCCGCAGATCCCATCCACTCTGCGGGGATCGTCGGAGGGGGTGTCACCAAGTGTTACCGCACCGGGTGACACCAACCCTAGGGACGCCTCTGGGGGAGAATACTTCTCTTTCTCAAACTGATGAAATGCCATTTCTTATTCAACAACATTTATATTCCGTTTTCATCGTTTGCTGTTTGCGTCTTTTGGTGACACATATCTATAAAACATGATTCGGAATCAGGAAAGAGAGTCTCTGGTTTCCTCCAAGCTGTTGGGGGGGGTCACTTACCCAGGCCAGTATGTTCTCATGGACTCCCATGTGGTAGATGGTGATCAGGGGACGGGCGCTGCAGTGCGCTCTGCCGTGCAGGTACTGATACAGCTCCACCAGCCGCCTTCTTTCCCGATCGGTGTCGTAGGGAGCCACCATGGCAGGACTGGAGGGAGATCACATGGTCACGCTTTCCTGTCTTCATCAGCAAGCATGCAGCATTTTTCATTTTCACAATTCAGATCTCAACCCTTTCTACTGCCAACATGTAGAAAAACTGCTAGCCAATAGGAACAGCTTATATAGAAGTGACTGAACACAAAGGTCTTCCTTGTGTTCTCCTTCTATATAAAGACACCACAGATAGAACAATGTCGATGCGTTTCAGCTAAATTCTGAAACCCGCCAACACTTCCAATGCGTTTCAGCATTTGGCTGAAACGCGTCGACGCTCTTCTATCCGTTTTAGTGTTTTAATTCCTGTGATCGAATCAATAAGATTCTACAGTCCCTGGTTGACTGCCGGCTTTTGCCAAGACCAGGGGTAGGCAACCTGCGGCTCTCCAGCTGTTGCAGGACTACAAGTTCCATCATGCACCTGCGAGTCATAGCTGTAATTGTCAGTTTTGTAATGTTGCAATGCCTCATGGGAAATGTAGTTCCACAATAGCTAGAGAGCCGCAGGCTGCCTACCCCTGGCCTATACAGTGCATCCACTTCAGCCCCACCCATTTCTGGCACTTGTTTACATTTTACAAATCTGTATTCGTTTGATAGAAAGTGTCTTAGAACCCCAAACATTACATTTTTTTTTTTTTTTTTTTTTACTGTTGCACAGCGTCTTTTTAAAGACAATTTTTCAGGAAAAATACAGAAATTTTTTTTTTTTTAATTAGTGCAAAAAAAAAAAAAAAAAATACACAACTCAATTTTTTTTAAATGTAAAATATAACCCTTGTTTGTTTACATTTACTTTACACATTCTAGTGTGCTAGGTGTTAGCAGCAGTCCTACACCATTGGTAAAATATGAAAGTGCAGCGCTAACTTAAACAATGATTACACATAAGATAGATCCCATTTGAATGTGGATCGGCAAAAAAGACGGCGTCAGTTCATCAGATGTGCTAAATACGTATACAGTCTCCAACACTTGAAGAGCCAGGGATAGTAGATATCAGAAATGATAAAGAAAAGCCAAGTAATGCACTGACCAGATAGCGCAAGTTAAAGCGCATGGGACATTTAAGACCTGTCCCTGGTACTCAGCCACTGTATCACTGGAGCAAGGCGGTGTCATCTATAGGGTAAACCACTAGATGTCATCTGTCCGGATGGAAGCTGTGTCCAGCCACTGTGTTTGGATTGTCTGTAGGGTGACCACTAGATGTCATCGGTTCCAGGAGAAACTGTATCACGGATCCAGGGATGTCACTGCAGATGTGTTCTTGTTAGGCACAATCCCAGGACCTACTGGATTTACAGGCTCCCCAGAAATAAAGAGCCCGTGGAAAAAGGCCTCAATAGTGTTAACGTTTATTTAAAATTGAACAATCAAACCCTCTGATGATGTGTACTTACACGATACGCGTTAGGGAAGTGCCAAGCTATGTTTATCTTATGTACATGTACCTCCGGTCTGGCCGTTTATAAGCAAAGTAAGTTCTTTTCTGATTGTTCAATTTTAAATAAACGTTATCACACTATTTGAGGCCTTTTTCCACGGGCTCTTTATTTCTGGGGAGCCTGTAAATCCAGTAGGTCCTGGGATTGTGCCTAACAAGAACACATCTGCAGTGACATCCCTGGATCCGTGATACAGTTTCTCCTGGAACCGATGACATCTAGTGGTCACCCTACAGACAACACCCACCTGATCCATCAACACAGTGGCTGGACACAGCTTCCATCCGGACAGATGACATCTAGTGGTCACCCTATAGATGACACCGCCTTGCTCCAGTGATACAGTGGCTGAGTACCAGGGACAGGTCTTAAATGTCCCATGCGCTTTAACTTGCGCTATCTGGTCAGTGCATTACTTTTTTTCTTTATCATTTCTGATATCTACTATCCCTGGCTCTTCAAGTGTTGGAGACTGTATACGTATTTAGCACATCTGATGAACTGACGCCGTCTTTTTTGCCGATCCACATTCAAATGGGATCTATCTTATGTGTAATCATTGTTTAAGTTAGCGCTGCACTTTCATATTTTACCATTATGGAGGTTCACGAGGTGCCTTTTGTGCCAGCAGCTACCCTATCTACATCCACATACTGCGCTCGATTTTATATATATATTTATATATAAGTTTATTTTATCTAGTCCTACACCATTGTGCAGTTCCAATCCATATATAAAATGTAAAAGATGATGTTATGCCGAGTAGGTAGATACCAAACATGTCACGCTTTAAAACTGTGCACGCCTGTGCAATGGCGACAAATGGAGGTAATTTTACTACTTTTAGGCAAAGTTTTGAGCCCGGGTTCACACTGATGCAGTGCGCAATTCTCAGCGTTTTCAGTGCGAATTCCACGCCGCATCAGAATTGCACCCCGTTCATACAAGCTGCTGCGGCTGTGTATGTTAAAGCGGAGTTCCGCTCACCGCTGTCAAAAAATAAGTCCGCATCTACAAAAACTGTAGCTGCTGACTTTTAAAAAACAGCCACTTACCTGTCCCTCGGTCCCGTGGTGTGTCCCCCGCAGCCCGTTTCACCTGCCGACCTGGAGGCCGGCATCTTCAGTGTGGGCACCCGGCTGTGACAGCTTGCTGCCTCACAGCCGGGAACCCACTGCGCATGCGCGAGTAGCACTGCGCTTCATAAATGGTCCTGTAATCTTCTGTTACCTGTCACGAGGGAAGGAGGGAGGACACCTTCCATCGCCTAGGCGGTCCGACCGCAATTGGGAGCCGGTACATGCTCCCCCCCTCCCCCGCCACCCAAAGGTGCCAATCCTTAATGGGGAGCGGGGGACCAGTCCTTAAAGCGAAACTTCCCCTTTTGGGTGGAGATCCGCTTTAAGTTAACAACACCCCGAAAGCGGTCTGCAAAACGTGGTGCGATGTGCAGAATTGGATCCCATAGGTGAGAATACCCGTGCGATCGGATCCTAGTGCGGATCAAAAAAAGGGTCTTGCACGTTTTTGGTGCGGTGCGATTAGAGCCATAGAGAATGTACGGCTCCGATAGCACCGCGCACAAATCGCATGTCATTTGCACAGGAATGCGGTGCGGTTCCTGTGCGAATCACACGCGATATACCGCACCGCATATATGTAAACCTGGGCTGAACGCCTTTACAGGTTACCTCATATGTGCGGGACGATCTCTGCGTGCGTGACCGACGCACGCATTCATCTTTGCGCTTGAGCACGGGGGAAGGGGCTGTGTGAGGGCACTTTTTTTTATTATTAAGTTATTTATTTTTTACACTGTCAATTTAAATTTTTTTTTAATCACTTTTATTGTCGTCACAAGAAATGTAAACATCCCCGGTGACAGCAATAGGCATGTAACAGGTACTCTTTATGGAGGGATATGGGGTCTACAAGACCCCCAAAAATCCCTCCTTTGCAAAGCATTAAAAAAAAAACAAATACATCGGTGTGATCAGTCTTTTTGAATGTTTTCACATTTTTAAAAATGGCAAACAAAGTTTACAAGTAAACAGGAAATGATGTCAGGTCATCGCTTCCGCTTTACAATAAAGGAGAGCCAATCACAGCCGATTCCGGCATTGTTCGGTGGACACATCGGCTGGTCACTTGGGACTCCTGGTGGGACGGGAGAACCCAAAAGAGTGATGGGGGGGAATGACACGACCCCTTCCGCTGCCCTTACAAACAATTGAGTGGCTAGGAGCTGCTCTGATTGCTTTACAAGAGAGCCGACCCAGTCCTGGGGTGATGCCCACAACTGCAGGCATCATTCTGGTACAACCACTGAAAGTACAGGCGACGTACCTCACTGGTCCAGACGTGGATATAAAGACACCACAGATAGAAGAGTGTCGACGCGTTTCAGCCCACTGGTGAAACGCATTGGAGTGCTGAAACGTGTCAACACTCCTCTGTGGTGTGTTTATATCCACTTCTGGACCAGAGTGTTGACACTTTTCAGCACTTCCAATGCGTTTCACCAGTGGGCTGAAACGCGTCAACACCGTTCTACCCGTTTTTTAGGGTTTTAATTCCTGTGATCTAATACAGTCCGGGGTTAACTACCGGTTTTTGCATATAATCTGTCTGGTGGACATACGGGAGGCCCTAGCTCCAGCACCATCACTTGCACACCAACTCCGGATCTATCCGGCTTGAGCACGGTGAGTTTGATTTTAGGTATGTTCTCCTTCTCCCCAGGAGGAGCGTAATTTGCACACTTTCATGCTTCAGTGAACCCCCAGCCGGCGTCCTCTGTTCACATACTTCATAGGACTCCCAGCCGGCCTCCCTTTTTTGCACACTTCATTGGACCCCAGCCTCCCCTATCCACAAACCTTATTGGATTTCCCAGTCAATCTCCCCTGTACACATAAGTCACAGGAACTCTGACCAGCCTCTCCTCTGCAGGCTTCCCCTATCCACATAAGTCATAGGACCTCTGACCCCCTGGCCAGCCTCTTCTATGTGCATATCCTTTTGGACCCTGGCTGGTCTTCCACACCTGCTTGCCACACTGAACCCTTGGCTCACCTCCCTATTGACATATGTCATTAAATTGATAGGTGGCCTCCCCTATCTGCACACCTTATTGGATCCCTGGCCTGCCTTCCCCATGTGAATATCTTATTGGACCCTGGTTGGCCTTGCATACCTGCACACTTCATGGAACCACGGCTGGTCTCCCTTATTGGCACGTTAATGAATCCCTGGCCGGCCTTCCCTATCCACACACCTTATTGGATTCCTGGCCATGCTACCCTATTCAAATATCCTATTGGACCAAGGCTGGCCTCATATACCTTTGCATTTCATTGGAACCCTGTCCAGCCTCCCCTATCCACACACCTGTTGAACCCCTGGCCAGCTTCCACTATCCACAGATCATATTTGGACCCCTGGCTGGCCTCCCCTATCCACACACCTATTGGACCCCTGCCAGCCTTCCACTATCCACACACCTATTTGGACCCCTGGCCAGCCTCCCATATTCCTATTTGGACCCCTGGCCAGCTTCCACTATCCACAGATCATATTTGGACCCCTGGCTGGCCTCCCTATATCCACACGCCTATTTGGACCCCTGGCTGGCTTCCCCTATCCACACTCCTATTTGGACCCCTGCTGGCCCTCCCTATCCACACACCTATTTGGACCCCTGCCTGGCCTTCCCTATCCACACATCATATTTGGACCCCTGGCCTGGCCTCCCCTATCCACACACCTATTTGGACCCCTGCCAGCCTTCCCTATCCACACTCCTATTTGGACCCCTGGCTGGGCCTCCCCTATCCACACACCTATTTGAACCCCTGGCCAGCCTCCCATATCCACACACTATTTGGAGTTCCCTGGCCTGGCCTCCCCTATCCACACGCCTATTTAGTTCCCTGGTCGGCTCCCCTATCCACTATTTAGTTCCCTGGTCGGCCTCCCCTATCCACACGCCTATTTAGTTCCCTGGTCGGCCTCCCCTATCCACACGCCTATTTAGTTCCCTGGTCGGCCTCCCCTATCCACACGCCTATTTGGACCCCTGGCCGGCCTCCCCTATCCACACCTATTTGGACCCCTGGCCGGCCTCCCCTATCCACACGCCTATTTGGACCCCTGGCTGGCCTCCCCTATCCCACACGCCTATTTGGACCCCTGGCTGGCCTCCCCTATCCACACGCCTATTTGGACCCCTGGCGGCCTCCCCTATCCACACGCCTATTTGGACCCCTGGCTGGCCTCCCCTATCCACACGCCTATTTGGACCCCTGGCTGGCCTCCCCTATCCACACGCCTATTTGGACCCCTGGCTGGCCTCCCCTATCCACACGCCTATTTGGACCCCTGGCTGGCCTCCCCTATCCACACGCCTATTTGGACCCCTGGCTGGCCTCCCCTATCCACACGCCTATTTGGACCCCTGGCTGGCCTCCCCTATCCACACGCCTATTTGGACCCCTGGCTGGCCTCCCCTATCCACACGCCTATTTGGACCCCCTGGCCTCCCCTATCCACACACCCTGGACCCCCTGGCTGGCCTTTCCTATCCACACGCCTATTTGGACCCCTGGCTGGCTGGCCTCCCCTATCCACACGCCTATTTGGACCCCTGGCTGGCCTCCCCTATCGGCCCACCTTACTGGATCCCCAACTGGTATCTTTTCCTCACCTAGTGAGGAGCCCGGAGCTCTTAGATTTGTAGAGGAAATGCCTCAGTTCTGGGATCCCGATCGGTGCGACATCATAGAAGGGGTTGCTCAGCGCTTCCATCAGTGAGGCCCACACTCCCCTCTTCTCCAGCCTCTCCACTATCTTTCTCTTGCAGTCCGAGGCTGTGAAGAAGTCCTCCCGGTCAGTGGACACCATCAGGAGACACAGTTCAGGCTTGTGGCTCAGATATGAGATGTGAGCATGGAAGAAGCCAGAGGAATTGAACTTGGGGAGGCAGACGGGTGTCCAGGCCTCGCCTTCCCTGAAGGAGCTGGATGAGGTGACCAGGTTAAAGAGCAAATGGAGGTCAATGGGGTGCAGATACTGGTCCTTCTTCCTGACTAGAGTCACCAGCTGGTTATTGGACATCAGAATGGAGAAGACCAGGCTTTTGGCCTTGGCTTGCTGGAGACAGTACATGGCGGAATCTCGCAGGCTGGCCGCCATGGGAAGACAACGCACTGCTCCCAGGAGGAAGCTGGGGTCCACGTCCATGGAATCCAGCAACTTGTCCGTAATGCGCTCGGAGCCGGAGAGGAGCTGCCGCAGGTCATAGCTGGGTCTCTGCTGGAAGAAGTGGTGGAGCTGAGTCCCGGTGACCAGGCTCACAATCTGATAGTAAACGTACAGCAACTCCTGAGCGATTTCCTGTTCCGACTGTTGAGTGTGTGACACCGACACCAAAACCAGAGGAGAGCGACGCACAAACACCACTTTATATCCATCTGCAACAGACAAACCAAAACTGTACAGAAACGGGGGCTGGGCAAGCATCTGGGTATACCGGCAAAAACCATTTCTCATCCTTTACCAAAGTGGACCTGTCATTAAATATTTGTGGCGGCACCATCTATGTCCAGGCATCATCCAGGGTCACCAGGTGCCTTCTAGACTGAGGTGCCGGCTCAGAGATGACACGGTCATCTACATACAGGTGCCTGAGCAGTTCCTGGCTTTGTGCACAGATATCTGACACAGATCAGCCCCCTGACACAGCCTCTCACCTTGAGACTTGTAATCATTGGGGGAGGGGAGACTGAGGGAGGGGAGACTGAGGAAATGCTCCCTCCTCCTTCTACAAAGTTACAATGTACAGTCTGATCGCTGGGGAGGGAGACTGAGGAAATGCTTCCTCCTCCTTCTACAAAGTTACAATGTACAGTCTGATCACTGGGGGGAGGAGACTGAGGAAATGCCTCCTCCTCCTTCTACAAAGTTATAATGTACAGCCTGATCACTGGGGGAGGGGTGACTGAGGAAATGCTTCCTCCTCCTTCTACAAAGGTACAATGTACAGCCTGATCACTGGGGGAGGGGAGACTGAGGAAATGCCTCCTCCTCCTTCTACAAAGTTACAATGTACAGCCTGATCACTGGGGGAGGGGAGACTGAGGAAATGCTTCCTCCTCCTTCTACAAAGTTACAATGTACAGTCTGATCACTGGGGGAGGGGAGACTGAGGAAATTACTCCTCCTCCTTCTACAAAGTTACAATGTACAGTCTGATCACTTGGGGGAGGGGTGACTGAGGAAATGCTTCCTCCTCCTCCTTCTACAAAGTTACAATGTACAGCCTGATCACTGGGGGGGAGGGGTGACTGAGGAAATGCTTCCTCCTCCTTCTACAAAGTTACAATGTACAGCCTGATCACTGGGGGAGGGGAGACTGAGGAAATGCCTCCTCCTCGTTCTACAACGTTACAATGTACAGTCTGATCACTGGGGGAGGGGAGACTGAGGAATTGCTGGCCAGTGACACACCTCCAGTGTTAGATCACCCCCACTCTGGATGAAAGAGCACAGGGGGCACTTTTGGACAGCAGCATTGTCAGTCTGGGGGTGGGGAGGGTCTGTTGCGCTTCCCTTGCGGTGTTAAAAATCCTGCTTGCCGCATTTTTGGTGCACATTTGGCGAGTAAAAAAACAAAAAAAAACACCTCCCCATTGATGTCTGGTTCACACCAATGCATTTTTTTAGTGCTTTTTACAGAAACGCACTACAGTCCATTTAACACGTTTTCCTATGGCACACGTTTGTCGCCGCATTTTTGGAAAGGGTCAGGCCACAAAAAAAAAAATTCATTGAACGAGTCATAAACACGTGCAAAAACGCAAAAAGCACTGCAAAACGGACAAAATGCAAACTGCATCGGTGTGAACCAGGCCTGAAATGCATTGAAAACGCAGCAAAAATGCCCGCATGTTGCATTTTTTATGTGTTTTGCGTTTTTTTAAACTGCCCAGCAACAAGTTGGCCAAAAAAAAAAAAAAAATTTTAAAAAACGTGTCATAAACGCGTGTGCAAAAACACAAAATGCACTGCAAAACGCAAACTGTATTGATGTGCACCAGGCCTGATATGCATTGAAAACACAGCAAAAACGCACAAGTGTTGCGTTTTTTTGGTCACGCGACCTATAAAAAAAGCGCACCCTAAATGTGGCAAAATCGCAGGTAAAATTGCGCGCTTACGGCGGCCATTATCGGCACCTTTTTCAGCCGCCGATAAGTCGGTGCATTCCATGCTGCGAGACCCCAGAGAACACATAATAGGATACATCTATACCTGCGTGGATGGATCGGATGGCGTTCTTCTCTGATTCCAGAACCGACACCAGTGCCATCATCACACCGGCGGTGCTCGAGAGCGCCTCCTCTGAGCGATACCGAGAATACACCGGCTTTCCCGCTTCGCTAAGGACAAAGACGTGTTTCTGGTGCTGGTACCAGTCATCCAGAACCCAACTTCCCCCGTCCACTTCTGGGCTGGAAGAAGGGGTGGAGTCTTCCTGTCCCTGGTCGGGGGCCTCCTCTGGGCTCTGATCTATACTCTGTACGGAGCTGACACTCAGCTGAGTGCTGAGCTTGCTGAAGTCCTCACTGATCTGCTCCATGCTGCTGACCTCCACACTGCCGTCGGGGCCGGGACTCTGGGGGAGGGGAACCTCCACCTCTCCAGTGAGGTCTTCATAGGACTGAGCGTGGACAAACATGGCTTCATTCTGGCCCGCCCCTGAGGAGAGAGAGAGAGCGTGACCCCACAACATAAACCACAGTTCCCATGATACAGGTCAGTGACACCACAATACCAATCCACGCTCAATAATCACTTGATGTGTTACTAAACCCACAACAGTACAATCAGTCTGTATATGCAGGAAAGCATGCTTGTTATACTCACTGTGGGACCTAAGAGGTTAATCCTCCGCATTGTGTAAAAAGGCTGTTTGATCCTGTCTTCTCTGATCCTCCCCTTCTTCTACTGTCCCCAATCCATCTGCTGATAGTATAGAGCTCTAGGAGTCACTACGTACGTGCTCAGTTTGATGTGTATGACTAGAGTTTTTTTTTTCCGGGAAGAGCGGATACGGATACGGCGAAGGCCGGGTCCGGGGAGAGCGGATACGGCGAAGGCCGGGTCCGGGGAGAGCGGATACGGCGAAGGCCGGGTCCGGGGAGAGCGGATACGGCGAAGGCCGGGGAGAGCGGTCCGGCGAAGGCCGGGGAGAGCGGATACGCGAAGGCCGGGTCCGGGGAGAGCGGATAACGGCGAAGGCCGGGTCCGGGGAGAGCGGATACGGCGAAGGCCGGGTCCGGGGAGAGCGGATACGGCGAAGGCCGGGTCCGGGGAGAGCGGATACGGCGAAGGCCGGGTCCGGGGAGAGCGGATACGGAGAAGGCCGGGTCCGGGGAGAGCGGATACGGCGAAGGCCGGGTCCGGGGAGAGCGGATACGGCGAAGGCCGGGTCCGGGGAGAGCGGATACGGAGAAGGCCGGGTCCGGGGAGAGGGATACGGCGAAGGCCGGGTCCGGGAGAGCGGATACGGAGGGGATACGGCGAAGGCCGGGTCCGGGGAGAGGGGATACGGCGAAGGCCGAGGGGAGGGTCCGGGGAGAGCGGATACGGTGACGGTGAAGGCCGGGTCCGGGGAGAGCGGATAACGAGAGTTTATAACACTTTAAGGACGGGGCCTTTTTCTGACACTTTTTGTTTACAAGTAAAAAATACACGCTGCTCAAAAAAATAAAGGAACACTGAAAACCCATCAGATCTCAATGGGGAGGAATCTCCTGCTGGATCTCTATACCGACATGGACGGGGGATGGGTGAGGAACGTAAGGACACCCCATCGTTGGATGGAAATGAAAATGATCGACCTACAGAGGACTGAATTCACAGACACCCCGAAAATCACAGTGAAAAAATGATGCGGCAGGCGAGTCCATTTTGCTGAAATGTCATTGCAGCAACTCAGAATGGTCCTCAGTAGTCTGTATGGCCCCCACGTGCTTGTATGCATGCCTGACAACGTCGGGGGGGGCTCCTAATGAGACCACGGATGGTGTCCTGGGGGATTTCCTCCCAGATGTGGACCAGAACATCACTGAGCTCCTGGACAGTCTGAGGTGCAACCTGGCGGCGTCGGATGGACCGAAACATGACATCCCAGAGGGGTCCTATTGGATTTAGGTCAGGTGAGCGTGGGGGCCATTCAATGGTATCAATTCCTTCATCCTCCAGGAACTGCCTGCATACTCTCCCCACATGAGGCCGGACATTGTTGTGCACCAGGAGGAACCCAGGACCCGCCGCACCAGGAGGAACCCAGGAGGACCCGCCGCACCAGGAGGAACCCAGGACCCGCCGCACCAGGAGGAACCCAGGACCCGCCGCACCAGGAGGAACCCAGGACCCGCCGCACCAGCGTAGGGTCTGACAATGGGTCCAAGGATTTCATCCCGATACCTAATGGCAGTCAGGGGGTGCCATTGTCTAGCCTGTAGAGGTCTGTTCGTCCCTCCATGGATATGCCCCCCCAGACCATCACTGACCCACCACCAGAACAGTCATGCTGAACCATGTTACAGGCAGCAGAACGTTCTCCACGGCTTCTCCAGACCCTTTCACGTCTGTCACATGTGCTCAGGGGGAACCTGCTCTCATCTGTGAAAAGCACAGGGTGCCAGTGGTGGACCTGCCAATTCTGGGGTTCAATGACAAATGCCAATCGAGCTCTATGGTGCCGGGCAGTGAGCACAGGGCCCACTAGAGGACGTCGGGCCCTCAGGCCACCCTCATGAAGTCTGTTTCTGAAGTCGGTGCAAAACATGTCATCTTGGTAACCCTACAACCCTACCACCCTTTGCTTGCCGTGATGACGCCACCCAGGACTCCGGTACGCTGACACCACGTGATTCGAAGACGACAGGAGCATTCTCCGATCCCAGCTCCCTTCAGAGCGGACGGGCCGTCCTTTGGAGTGACACTGTTCACTTCAGGCTGGTCAAACTTTATTATATTTGCTACTTTATCTCACTTAATAAAGATGAAGCGTCATTGAGAGCATATTCCACAGCACCTATTCTTTGCAGTTCTCTTCCAGTTCTGCTGACAGCACAAAATTTGGAATTTTTTTTTTTTCAATTTCAGTGATACCCGGTCACCAGGACAAACAGAGAGGGGGAAAATCTTCTTAACGGGGACACAGAAAGTGAACAGTGGGAGGAGTTATGCAAATATCAAAATGCTTTGAGGAGTGGGCATTCCTAGAAGGGTTGCATTTGCATAGGCAACGCCCACATGTGATGCTGAGGCTCCATGATTGAAGGAACTGAAATGCAATAAATGAAAGGGGTGGGGTCAGGGACAGTCAGACGGGGGAGGAAAGCACTAGATGATGCTGGATGTCCTCCAGCCAGGAAATGAGGTGGAGCTCTATCTGACTGGCTGCGACTTCTAATGCACATTGTGAGAAGATCCCAGTGTGCAGTGACATCAGAGGAAGCCTTTTCAGTCCAGGGGAGGAGCCGATAAATCTGTGCAAGACTGGAGGGGAGGAGCCGATACGCCTGTGCGAGACTGGAGGGGAGGAGCCGATACGCCTGTGCGAGACTGGAGGGGAGGAGCCGGCACGCCTGTGCGAGACTGGAGGGGAGGAGCCGGCACGCCTGTGCGAGACTGGAGGGGAGGAGCCGGCACGCCTGTGCGAGACTGGAGGGGAGGAGCCGGCACCCCTGTGCGAGACTGGAGGGGAGGAGCCGGCACGCCTGTGCGAGACTGGAGGGGAGGAGCCGGCACGCCTGTGCGAGACTGGAGGGGAGGAGCCGGCACGCCTGTGCGAGACTGGAGGGGAGGAGCCGGCACGCCTGTGCGAGACTGGAGGGGAGGAGCCGGCACGCCTGTGCGAGACTGGAGGGGAGGAGCCGGCACGCCTGTGCGAGACTGGAGGGGAGGAGCCGGCACGCCTGTGCAAGACTGGAGGGGAGGAGCCGGTACGCCTGTTGAAGACTGGAGGGGAGGAGCCGGTACACCTGTGCAAGGCTGAAGGGGAGGAGCCGGTACACCTGTGCATGACTGGAGGGGAGGAGCCTGTACACCTGTGTAAGACTGGAGGGGAGGAGCCGGTACACCTCTGCAAGGCTGGAGGGGAGGAGCCGGAACGCCTCTGCAAGGCTGGAGGGGAGGAGCCGAAACACCTCTGCAAGGCTGGAGGGTAGGTTGGGTTTATTGATTTTCCCCAGAGATAAGAGCTGTGTACGCTCCGCGGACTATGTTGGCTGTAGATAGCTCACCTGGCTCAGTGCCCTGGGTCAGGACGGGGGCGGGGCTCTCAGAGCGTTGGTTCTCGGGGTCAGCGGACAGATTGGAGGAGGGCGGGATCACTCTGGGGTGTCGCTCCACCTTGTCATGGACATCAGAAGCCATTTGTGTCCTGTATGGGGGGACAGAATATCATATACACATCACTACAGGCCCAACTCTGCTGGTTACCCATAGCAACCATCTCCACTTCCTGTCACCTGACCGAAGGAAGCTGATTGGCTGCTGTGTCAGACCCCCAAGTTACAGCACACCCCTCCCCCATCCCGTCCGTTCCCTCGGTGTACACAGACCCCTCCCCCATCCCGTCCGTCCCATCGGTGTACACAGACCCCAAGCTTTCTCATCACCTGCCCGATCACTGCAGGATTCCCCCGGTGCATTGTGGGGCTGGCTATTCCTGAGCACCGCCCACAGGAGTTTCACACACGCCCCGCCCAACACTCCTCCCACCTATACAGAGAACGGGCCTACTTCCGGTCCTACCTCTTCAAAGGAAGACCTACTTCCAGTGCCTTGTGGCTCCTCCCTCCGTCATTCCAAAGTTCCGCCCCTGGCCGCCTCCCCACAGCCCCGCCCAACACTCCTCCCACACTATCCTAACCTGATCTTCGTCTAGTCTAGTGCATTGCGGCTCCTCCCCTCGACGTCCCTAAGTTCCGCCCCCCCAGCGGGCTTCTCACAGCCCCGCCCTGCACTTTTCCCCTCCTCCCACCGCTACCGAGGCTGACGTACTTCCGGTGCGGGGCGGAAGTGGAAGTCGATGCTCGAGCTCAGAGAACGGAGGAGGATCCGTATCGGGGACCAACCTTGCCGAGCGTAAGACCGCCAATATCCGCCTTATATAGCGCCGACATGTACCATAGGGGTGAACAGAGGTTTCTGTGCCGGTTACAGGAGCTTACACTCTAATATCCCCTCCTCCACAGTCATTATTAGTATATAATACATTTCTATATCTCTGACATATACTGTAGGGTTGTACATAGAACACCAAGTCAGTCTCTGTACCAGAGGAGCTTACGCTCTATCATCTCCCCTCCCCCACAGTCACATCAGTCTCTGTACCGGAGGAGCTTACGCTCTAATGTCCCCTCCCCCGCAGTCACATCAGTCTCTGTACAGAGGAGCTTACGCTCTAATGTCCCCTCCCCCCCAGTCCCCCCACAGTCCCATCAGTCTCTGTACAGAGGAGCTTACACTCTAATGTCCCCTCCCCCCACAGTCACATCAGTCTCTGTACAGAGGAGCTTACACTTTCATGCCCCCTCCCCCACAGTCCCATCAGTCTGTGCACCAGAGGAGCTTACACTCTAATGTCCCCTCCCCCACAGTCACACACTATTATTATACATGTGTATATATCGCTGTACATAGTGTGTATTCTGTGACTTATTTTTTCCTCTCCCCATAGATCGATATTTGATGGTCGGTTCTGTTTCCTCTCTGCAGGTTGTTAATGTTTGGATGTCGTATAACGCAGAGAAGATGTGGGACGCTCCTCGCCCGCCGTTCGGGGCATTCCGGTGAGTTTTCACACCCGGAGGTTATGACGAGCTCCGTGGTAAGGTGCAGTTTTTCCGATCAGGGTGGCGGCGCACACGCGGCGGGGCGGAGTCTTGTTTTGCATGGAAATTATAGAAATTTGGGGAAGTAAATCTGTAAATCCGACACGCGGCCGGGAGGCTGTACAGCTGACCGCTTCCTTCCATGTCCCCCCTGGTAGTGTGCTCCCTCTGCCTTGGCTCTGCTGGCCCTCCTACAGGCCCAGGACCCCCATGGCGAGGGGCACCGAGAAGAGGGAGACCAGCGAATGTCCGTTCACTGATCTTCCCTGGCTGATAAAAACCAGCAAGCAACGTGCGTAGTCTCCTCCGGGTTCAGCTGTCGCATTTCCCAGCTAATTTTTATTTTTTACTAAATGAAAGAGGACCAAAAATTTTGAAGAAAAAAATATTTTTTACGTTCTGTTTATAAAACACATCTAATAATATTACATTTCTTCATAGATTTAGGCCAAAATGTATTCTGCTACACTGCTATAGTAAAAAATAACCGGAATCGGCGTAAAAATAACCGGAATCGGTGTAAAAAATAACCGGAATCGGTGTGTATATCCGTCTGCGTGAAAGTCATTAAGTCTACAACCTATAAGATCTATATCTGAGAATTGATCGGTCTGGATGGATGATCTCCTTTCTTCAGGCCCTAACATGTCAGAGCAGTACATATATCCCCTAAATGTCAGGACAGGACAGACCCCCCCCCCCCCCAAATGTCAGGACAGTACAGACATGTCCAGACCCCCCCCCCAAATGTCAGGAGAGGACAGACCCCCCCCCAAATGACAGGACAGGACACAGACCCCCCCCCAAATGTCAGACAGGACCAGACCCCCCCCCCCCCCCCAAATGTCAGGACAGGACAGACCCCCCCCCCCCAAATGTCAGGACAGGGCAGACCCCCCCCCCCCAAATGTCAGGACAGGGCAGACCCCCCCCCCCCAAATGTCAGGACAGGGCAGACCCCCCCCCCCCAAATGTCAGGACAGGACAGACCCCCCCCCCCCCCCCCCCCAAATGTCAGGACAGGACAGACCCCCCCCCCCCAATGTCAGGGAGGACAGGGCAGACCCCCCCCCCAAATGTCAGGACAGGCAGACCCCCCCCCCCAAATGTCAGGACGGGGCAGACCTTCCCCCCCCCCCCCAAATGTCGGGACAGGGCAGACCCCCCCCCAGGACAGGGCCCCCCCCCCCCCCCAAATGTCGGGACGGGGCAGACCCCCCCCCCCCAAATGTCGGGACGGGGCAGACCCCCCCCCCCCCCCCCAAATGTCAGGACAGGGCAGACCCTTCGGGACGGGGCCCCCCCCCCCCCCCCAAATGTCACGGGGACAGGGCAACCCCCCCCCCCCCCCAAATGTCGGGACAGGGCAGACCCCCAAATGTCAGGACAGGGCAGACCCCCCCAAATGTCGGGACGGGGCAGACCCCCCCCCCCAAATGTCACCCCCCCAAATGTCGGGACGGGGCAGACCCCCCCCCTTACCCCCCCCCCAAATGTCGGGACGGGGCAGACCCCCCCCCCCCCCAAATGTCGGGAGACCACCCCCCCCCCAAATGTCGGGGGGGCAGACCCCCCCCCCCCCAAAATGTCGGGACGGGGGGCAGACCCCCCCCCCCCCCAAATGTCGGGACGGGGCAGACCCCCCCCCCCCCAAATGTCGGGACGGGGGCAGACCCCCCCCCCCCAAATGTCGGGACGGGGCAGACCCCCCCCCCCCCCCAAATGTCGGGACGGGGCAGACCCCCCCCCCCCAAATGTCGGGACGGGGCAGATCCCCCCCCCCCCCCCCCCCCCCCAAATGTCGGGACGGGGCAGACCCCCCCCCCCAAATGTCGGGACGGGGCAGACCCCCCCCCCCCCAAATGTCGGGACGGGGCAGACCCCCCCCCCCCCAAATGTCGGGACGGGGCAGACCCCCCCCCCCCCCCAAATGTCGGGACGGGGCAGACCCCCCCCCCCCAAATGTCGGGACGGGGCAGACCCCCCCCCCCCAAAATGTCGGGACGGGGCAGACCCCCCCCCCCCAAATGTCGGGACGGGGCAGACCCCCCCCCCCAAATGTCGGGACGGGGCAGACCCCCCCCCCCCCCAAATGTCGGGACGGGGCAGACCCCCCCCCCCCCCCAAATGTCGGGACGGGGCAGACCCCCCCCCCCCTCCCCCCCAAATGTGTCGGGACATGTCGGGAGGCCCTCCCCCCAAATGTCGGGACGGGGCAGGCCCCCCCCCCCAAATGTCAGGGGACGGGGCAGAAATGACCCCCCCCCCCCAATGTCGGGACGGGGCAGCCCTCCCCCACGGGGCAGGCCCCCCCCCCAATGTCGGGACGGGGGCCCTCCCCCCCAATGTCGGGACGGGGCAGACCCCCCCCCCCCCAAATGTCGGGACGGGGCAGACCCCCCCCCCCCAAATGTCGGGACGGGCAGAGGGACCCCCCCCCCCCAGAAAAATGACAGACCCCCCCCCCCCCAATGTCGGGACGGGGCAGACCCCCCCCCCCCCAATGTCGGGACGGGGCAGACCCCCCCCCCCACCAAATGTCGGGACGGGGCAGACCCCCCCCCCCCCCAACATGTCGGGACGGGGCAGACCCCCCCCCCCAATGTCGGGACGGGATAGACCCCCCCCCTCAAATGTCATTGGACAGACCCCCCCCAAATGTCAGGACAGGACACACCCCCCCAAATGTCAGTTGGAAAGGAAGATTCCCCCCCCCGACAAATGGCAAATCACTGACCCCCCCCCCCCCCCAAATGTCAGGGCAGGACAGACCCCCCCCCAAATGTTAGGACAGGACAAATGCCCCTCCATTTGACATGAAAAAGTATTGTTTGCAACAATGTATCTATTTGTATCCGAATAAAAACATCTGCATCCGAAATGGATACAACTAGATACATTGTTGCAACCGCAAGACTTTTTCATGTCAAATATAATAGCGGAGCTCTCTGCAGGGACAGAAGTAATTAAATGCCGGCCGTAGACGGGACAAAAATCTGCCAATTTTTTTTTTTTTTTCCGTTGGTGGTAACGTCGGCCTATTGAACGACCGATTTTTAATTTTTTTAAAAAAAAAAAAACAGCTGGTTTTTGACCCGTCTATGGCCTACATTATTTGCAAAATCTTATAAGAAAAACACTTTTTTTTTTTTTTTCAATATTTTTGGATTTTTCATTTATATGGCAAAAAAATCAAAATCTCAGCGGTGAATAAATACCACCAAAATAAAGTTTTATCTGTTTCAAAAAAATACTAAAAAAAAATCATATGGGTACAGTGTTGCATGACCGCGCAATTGTCATTCAAAGTGTGACGGCGCTGAAAGCTGAAATTTGGCCTGGACAGGAAGGGGGTGAAAGTGTCCGGACTTGAAGTGGTAAATAAAAACATTGCAGAACCCTGTACAGTGGGGGGGGAGCATCTGGAAACGCATCAAAAATGTGTCAATAATGCGCATGTAGAAAGGCATCCATGATGGATCTGGAGCAGGGGCGGACTGACCATTTGGAAACTCAGGCACTGCCCAAGGGCAAGGGGTCAGTAGGGGTCCCATGAGATGCCCCTGGTGCCTTTTTCATGGGCTTTTTTGAGTTTGGGCAAGGACACAGGGGCCCCATCATCCCCTATTGCCCGGGGGCCCCATGAGTTATCAGTCCGCCCCTGATCTGGAGTATGTTTTTGTGGGCCAAACCGGCCCTGAAAGAAAATCCCAAATTTTCGGTGATCACCAGAACAGGGAAAGTATTCCAGTGGGGACAACTGTGGATTTTCCTCACTTTGGAGGGATTTCTTCACTTCCTGTTTTGTTTATGGGACAGGAAGTGAAGGTAAATCACTCTAATGGGACACAGGTGGCAAAAAAAAAAAAACCTGTGGAATTATAATCCTTCCTTTTTCTATCCAAAATTAAATAAAGTTTTGCCTTTTTAGTTCTTCAAAACAGAATTAAACCCACCGATTTGACAGTTTTTCCAAAACGGTTCCATTCAAGGCATGTCTCTGATTAACTGTTAAAGCGGAACTAAACCTTCCTATCATTTTCAGTCATGGAAGCTTTTTGGGCCATCTTGGCCTCTGTTTGATCTACAACTGCACGTGATCGGTTATGACACCAACCATTTGATGGTTTGGTTGAGAGCACGAGCAACTGTGACCATTCTATTCCCGACACGTGCCAGGAATAGAACGGTGTTTTGAAATGGTTAAACTGATGGGTTTAGTTCCACTTTAAGGTTTGGGCTTATGTCTTTTTTCAACCAAACTTTCAAAAGCTTCAGATGGCTGGTTCCTTAGCCGATCACATGTGCAGCACCATGGCAGCTGCAGGTCAAACAGAGGCTAAGATGGCAGCTTAGGCTGTAGGAGCAGTGGTGTCCCTAGGGGGGTGCGGGCTGCACCTGGTGACACCATCACAGGGGGGTGCGGGAGCAAGATGCCGGCACAGTGACAGCTGCCCCCGCCCCGGTGTAGAAGTAGTAAAATGAGTATCTCCTGAAGCAACTGCGCATGTGCCGGTTTCAGGCCGAAGAAGCCGATCGCCGGTTCTGTGCTAAGGTCGGAGATCAACTTCTTCAGCCTGAAACCGGCACATGCGCAGTTGCTTTGGGAGATATATATCTTCAAGGGATACTCATTTTTACCGCTACACCGGCACTGCTCCTTCCTCTCTGGAGGGGTGACACCATGTGTTACTGCACCGGATGATGCCAAACCTTGGGATGCCTCTGTGTAGGAGGTTCTTCAAAAGACTGTCTATGCCTCTTAGAAAATATCTTGGGTTGTTTACTTTCCAAAATGTGATCTTTTTTATGGGTGTTTTCTCACACATGTGGTATTGCCATACTTAGCATGGATATACTAAGAATCACACCCCAAAATACACTACGGTACTCCTGCTGAGTATGGCAATACCACACATGTGAGACTTTTTCACAGCCTAGCCAGATAGGGGCCCAAAATTCAAGGAGCACCTTTGGGCTTTCAGGCAGCATCAATTACACATAAATTACACATCTAATTCTAAGATATTTCTAACACATAGCATGGATATACTAAGAATTACACTCCAAAATACACTGTGATACTCCTCCCGAGTATGGCAATACCACACGTGAGACTTTTTCACAGCCTAGCCATGCAGAGGGGCCCAAAATCCAAGGAGCACCTTCAGACTTTTTATAGGCATAAATTATGCATCTAATTTCCTGACTACATTTTATGAGGCCCTTGAGCACCAGGACAGTGAAAACACCCATAAAAAAGATCACATTTTGGAAAGTAAACAACCCAAGATATTTTCTAAGAGGCATAGAGAGTCTTTTGAAGACCCTCCTACACTAATATACTAAGAATTACACCCCAAAATACACTATGGTACTCCTCCTATGTGTTAGAAATATCTTAGAATTAGATGTGTAATTTATGTGTAATTGATGCTGCCTGAAAGCCCCAAGGTGCTCCTTGAATTTTGGGCCCCTATCTGGCTAGGCTGTGAAAAAGTCTTACATGTGGTATCCACATGCTCAGGATAAGTAACAGAATGTATTTTGAGGTGTAATTCTAACCTCTAATGTGTGTTAGGAATATCTTAACTGACAACTTTGTGTTTTATAAATAAAAAAAAATTGCAATTTTTCTTTCTGCATTTTCCAAAAAACTTGTGCCAAAAAAATTACAATAAAAAAAAAAACAAATGGTGAGAAACAATTTTGATTTCTTAATTTCCAAAGAATTGCGACAGTTACATCAGAAAATTCCCCATGCCTCTTACTAAATACCTCAGACTGTCTACTTTCCAAAAAGGGGTAATTTTACGGGTATTTGTGATGGAGAAAAAAAAAAAAATTTAATAAATAAAAAAAAAAAGTGCTCATGCGCAAAGGCGAACGCACGCAAACAGCAATCGACCCACACGTGAGGTATCATCAGGAACGTCAAATTTTGGGCCACAATTCTAACACCAGACCTCCTCTGAAAATCTAAAAAGATAACCTGTAAAGGCTTTTAAAGCATCGTCTATGGATAGTAAAATTTACGCCGTTTGTCACCATTGCATGAGCGCATTCAGTTTTAAACCGTGACATGTTTGGTATCGATTTACTCAGCGTAACATCATCTTTTATATTTGACCAGAAAATGGATTGAGTTTTCTTGCTGCGCGAATACTGTGTGACATATTAACCCCCCTCTCGGTGTTCCTGAGTGTAGTTCGGGGTAAAGTTTCAGCACCACAAGCGGTAACCCAGAGCTACACTCAGGAATACACTGCAGCATTGCTCTGGGATCCCTTCTGCACTTACCTTGTCCTGCGCTCCCACGATGTCCCCCCTGCAGTGTCCCCGGCAATGTCCTCCGGCCGATGCCGGCATCTGTCGTCTGGGTTCCGTTCCCTGCGACGTCGGGACTTACGGGGGACGGAACTGGCGGGAAATTTGAAAATGACAAAAAGTGACATTCACTAAATACACTAAAATCACATAGTATAACATTCCTGTATCAAACCATTTCACATACATTTTGTCCCGAGTGCTTTGTCCGGCGCCCTGCCTGCATTTTTACTGTTCTTTCTGCCTGGAAACTGAGAAACGTCCATGGCGTCCAAAAAGCGTCCCTTTAGGTCAGACGCGGTTTTAGACCGGCTAGAGAACAGCGATAGTAAATCAGAACCACTTGCAGAATTGAGTGATAATGATTCGTGGGGGAAATTCCTCATCAGACACTGAAAACAATTCTGCGACTGAGCTCAGCGATGTGCGAACTTGGCGCTATATTTCACATTTCAGTGTTTTTGGTTTGAGTATATTATTGAATTAAATTTATTATTATTAAATTATTTTTTATAATTATTTATTAAATTGTAATTTACGATTTCGTGTTTCAAATTTTATCATCCCGGGATGTTTACTAGACTCTTGTTCAGACAGATTTCAGTGAGTTGTTCCTAAAAATTACAGGCCTACAATAAAAAAACTACATATTTCCATGCAAAAAAATGTACCGCTTTGAGCACAGAAATGCTGACATCAGACCGCTAGGGAGGCTACATTGCAACACCCACCAATTTATTCTCTAGGACAGCAATGGGCAAACTACGGCCCGGCGGACCTTTTAATCCGGCCCACGGAGTGTGGCAAACATCGGCTGTCAGAATGTGTGTAGGCGGGGCAGCGTGAGGAACGTGAGGGGAGCTAGGCTCCTCTCACAGTCCGCCATGAAGACCGGAACGGCGCGGGAACACGGCGAGAGGAACGCGCGGAGCAAAGGTAAGTGAATTGACACAGGGGGGACTTGGCTTACTACTTGGGGGGAATAGTACTGTGGGGGATGAAATACTATATGAGGGATGAATTACTATAGGGGGGATGAATTACTATGGGGGATGAATTACTATATGGGGGATGAATTACTATGGGGGATGAATTACTATGGGGGATGAATTACTATATGGGGGATGAATTACTATGGGGGATGAATTACTATATGCGGGATGAATTACTATATGGGGGATGAATTACTATATGGGGGATGAATTACTGTGGGGGATGAATTACTGTGGGGGATGAATTACTGTGGGGGATGAATTACTATAGGGGGGATGAATTACTATAGGGGGGATGAATTACTATATGGGGGATGAATTACTATGGGGGATGAATTACTATATGGGGGATGAATTACTATGGGGGATGAATTACTATATGGGGGATGAATTACTATGGGGGATGAATTGCTATGGGGGATGAATTGCTATGGGGGATGAATTACTATGGGGGATGAATTACTATGGGGGATGAATTACTATGGGGGATGAATTACTATATGGGGGGATGAATTACTATATGGGGGATGAATTTATGGGGGATGAATTGCTATGGGGGATGAATTACTATGGGGGATGAATTACTATATGGGGGATGAATTACTATGGGGGATGAATTACTATATGGGGGATGAATTACTATGCTTACTATGGGGGAATATTACTATACTTACTATGGATGACACATACACATCATTCATCTACTCTTGGTCCGGCCCCCGGGTCCAATATATGAACCCATTGCGGCCCTCAAGTCAAAAAGTTTGCCCACCCCTGCTCTAGGACCTCTGCTTTAAAGAAAAAATGTTTGGGTGTTCAAAGAAATTTTCTAGCAAAAAAATACTGATTGTTACATGTAAATAAAAAGTGCCAGAAAAGGCCTGGTGGTTAAACCACCTGAAAAAAAAAATTTTCATTTGAGTAAAGTGTTGTCATTCAGAGTGTGACAGCGCTGAAAATGTAAAAATGTCCTGGACTGGAAGAGTATGAAAATGTCTGGTACTGAAGTTATTAAAAAATCTGTTTACATAATAAACTTTAGTTATGGATATGAGTGCAGAGTATTTACTGCATGCATTTGGGCATTTTCTGTTTTTGGTGTGGGGGTGAGGGGGGGTTGTCTACTTTCCGCCTCTATTTGTTATGGAGCCCATAGTAAACCCTTGTTTTCTCTTTCGCAGGGGTCGTACAGGAGAGTCTTACCCTCCAAGATGGCCGCAAGGTCCTGAACCAAGAATGAGGGGACGTAGTCCTTTACCATTTCGAGGTGGAGCTGTACCTCCTGGTCCTTCCTACACCGGCCAAGGAGGTGTTCCCTTCAGCTATAGAGATGCAGGGAGAGGCCAGGAAGGAGCTTGGGAGGAGAGCAGGCCGGCACCAAAGGAGCAGATGAACATCCCGAGAAGAGGGGCACCGCCAGCAAATTTTAGAGACGTGGCAGATATGCGCTATTCGGAGCAGGGTCTAGCCCCGGATATGGACTATAGAGAGAGGGAAGTTCTGGAGCAGAGAAAGTGGAAGACGCCAGATGTGGACTATAGAGCTGAGGAAGGTCAGAACATTGGCTACAGGGTGAGGCTTTCACCGCCTGACTATAGGGAGCGGGATACCTCGGAATACAGAAGAAAGTTGATCATTGAAAAGGAGATCCAAGAGAGGGAGGCTTTAGAACTGGAGCACCGAAAGAGATTGGCAACCGCTCTCGATTATAGGCAGAGGCATGCCGCCGAAATGGAGTACAAGTTACGACTGGAAGCTATACTAAAACGTAGAGAAAGAGAAGAAGAAATGCTGCTTCGAGAGAGAGAGTACACCGAGCGCTTGCTGAGGGAGAGGGAGGTTCTGGAACGGATACGAGATAGGGATACTGTGGCCTTGGCCCACAGAGATAGAGAGGTTGCAGGCTTGGGCCTTAGAGACAGGGAGGCTCCTGCGTTGTCTTTTCGGGAGAGAGAAGTTATGGATTACACCGAGAGGGGGCTGCCTGCACATGTTAGAGAGTCTACAGACCTTGATTTAAGGGTCAAGGAATCTGACAAGGATTTCATGGGAAGAGAACGAGATTTGAAGTATCAGGAGAGCCTGCCTAGAAAATACTCAGAAAGTGGGACCTTGTCCATGCCATATCAGGAGAGTCTGTCTAGAGAATACTCAGATAGTGGAACTGCATCCATGCCCTATAGGGAGCAAGAGAAGACCGATGTGGAGTACATGGAGATAGAAGACCAAGAGAAAGACACTTTGGATGTCAGTACTGTGAAAGGCTCTGGGGGATTTACCTCAATGAATAAGAAGTCTGCAGAAATGCCTTACAGACAAGGCAAGGCAGCTCATGTGAGCTATGACAAGGGGGAGTCCCAGGCCCAAAGGCCAGAATTCCACAAACACACTGATGCAGACTACCGTGAGAAGGAGTGCGCGGACTCCGATTACCGTGACAAAGAGAGTTCGGACTCAGACTATCGAGGCCGAGAAAATGCCGATGTAAACTACCGAGACATGAAGACCACCAATGTTAACTACCGAGACGCAAAGACTGCTGATGTAAACTACCGAGACATGAAGGCCACCAATGTAAGCTACCAAGACACAAAGACCACTGACGTGAACTACCGAGACATGAAGACCACCAATGTAAGCTACCAAGACTCAAAGACTGCCGATGTAAACTACCGAGACGCGAAGACCGCTGATGTAAACTACCGAGATATGAAGACCACCAGCGTAAGCTATCAAGACGCAAAGACCGCCGATGTAAACTACCGAGATATGAAGACTGCTGATGTGAGGTACCGAGACACGAAGACCTCTGATTCAGATTACCGAGAGAAGGATAGCGCAGATTCGGATTACCGGGAACGAGAGAGCACAGATACGGATTATCGGCAGAACGCAGAGGATTATGTTAAAAAAAAGCACAGAGAAAATGGAGACTGGAAGAGACTTTTTGGTTTCCAAAATGGAAGAGGACAAAAAGTTGAAATCAACAACTGATTATCCTTTGATTCCGACAGAGATGGACAAGAAAACTGGGCCAAAAAAAGTTGAACTAATTCCATTTTTGGCTTTCAGCGAGGAAGAGTTATCCGCGTTGTCCAGTATAATAGTTGAGGCTAATTCTAAACCTCCTGCAGAGGTTCAAGCACCGAGCAGGTCGAAACCCAGTTTTCCTGGGAAACTGGACACAGATTTCCGAGACAAACCAAAGCCTGAAAACATTAATAGCGGAACCAAGGAACGGGCTGAGAAAGCTACGGGATATACAGCACACAGCACCCCTGAGGAGCTCTGTTCAGGCGATCAGGACTTACGCAGTAAAGACAGCTTCGCTAAGGACCCAACAAGGTGGAAGGCGATCAAGATTTGCGGACCAGTGGACACAATCAGAAGGATGAGGATCTCCGAGGAGGGGAAACAAAGACCCCTGAGGAATTCTTTACCCAGAATACTCTACTTCTGGACTTTCTGCGACTGGCAGCCAGAGAGCTAAGAGAGAAAAGAACTAACGTGTCAGAGGCTAAAGACGAACCCACCACTCTCACCCCTGCCGTACCTGATCCCAGTGCTGCCGAAACGTTTCACCCAGATCTCAGCACCAGGCCTTCCAGGCCATTGGTCCCAGGAAGTAGCATGGCCCCAGGGATTGAATACCTATGTGGAGAGGATACCGATTATAGAAACATGGACTTCAATGATGTGGACCTGAGAGTTGGCCACAGACCAGATAAACGTTTGGCTGAGAAAAGATCTTGTGAAGACCCTCAGCCTGGGAGTAAGGTAGGTACAGATCATTAAGTTGCATTGTATCTGTTACATTGAAGTGCGGTATATTGTTCCGCAAATCGCAGGTAGAAATTAAACTCCTCCCCTTCCTGTCTTATGCCTTTTTTTTTAGCAGGATCCTCCTCTTCCTGTGTCATGCCTTTATAGAGTAATGCTCCCCTCCTTCCTTTGTCACATCTTTGAGTAGTGCTCCTCCTCTTCCTGTGTCATGTCTTTGGGTAGGGCTCCTCACTTCATTTTCCTTTGTCATGCCTTTATAGAGTAGGGCTCCTCCCCTTCCTGTCTTATGCCTTTTATTAAGCAGGACCCTCCCCTTCCTGTGTCATGCCATTTTAGAGTAGGGCTCCTTTCCTTCTTTTGTCATGTCTTTATAGAGTAGGGCTCCTCCCCTTCCGGTGTCAAGGCTTTATAGCGTAGGGCTCCTCCCCTTCCTGTGTAGAGCTTTTGTGGAGTAGGGCTCCTCCCCTTCCTGTGAGCATTTATAGAGTAGGGCTCCTCCCCTTCCTGTGTCAAGCATTTGTGGAGTAGGGCTCCTCCCCTTCCTGTGTCGAGCGTTTGTGGAGTAGGGCTCCTCCTTCCCTTCCTGTGTCGAGCGGGTTTGTGAGTAGGGCTCCTCGAGCCTAGAGCCTTCCCGTGTCGAGCCTTTATAGAGCGGGCTCCTCTCCCTTCCCGTGTCGAGCCTTTATAGAGCGGGCTCCTCTCCTTCCCGTGTCGAGCCTTTATAGAGCGGGCTCCTCTCCTTCCCGTGTCGAGCCTTTATAGAGCGGGCTCCTCTCCTTCCCGTGTCGAGCCTTTATAGAGCGGGCTCCTCTCCTTCCCGTGTCGGGCCTTTATAGAGTGGGCTCCTCTCCTTCCTTCATATCTTTGGGTAGGGCTCCTCCGCTCCTCTTCCCGTGTCATGCCTTTGGGTAAGGCTCTTCCCTTTCACGTCATGACTTTGGGTGGGGCTCCTCCCCTTCCTCTGTCATGCCTTTGGGTAGGGTTCCTCCCCGTGTCATGCCTTTGGGTGTAGGGCTCCTCCCCTCCCCGTGTCATGCCTTTTGGGTAGGGCTCCTCCCCTTCCCGTGTCATGCCTTTATTAAATGGCAGCTGTTTGCCAGTCTCTGGGCCCCTGGCAGTGGCATGTTTACTGTGGGAAGCCTGCTCTGATTTCTTTAACAGTCCTGTATCCTCCAAAAGGTTGCGGGCAGGGAAGGGGGAAGGGAGAACTTCTTCTCTGATCACCTAGGCAGTTGAAGCAAAAGGGGAAACTAGATACCTTCATTAATTCCAAACATGATAGAGAAGGGGGGGGGGGGATTGAAGTAGGGCACTTCCTTTCCTGTCATGTCTTCATTGAGCGGCCATGAGCTTGCTTTATCCCCCTGGAGTCCAGGACGTTTTAAATGGCATCAAGTCAAAGGGTTAATTTATATTTTGTGGGTAAGAATTGTCTTTCCATTTATATATCTTATTCAGTGATTTTTTTTTTTTTCTGCACCAGGATAAGGACTATCGCAGGACAGCCATACCTGAAGGGGCGACAAAGATCATATGGCTGGACGGTCTTCCCACTGGAGCCTCTCGGGAAGAGGTAGGGTGGTGGGGGGGGGGGCACGGAGATCTCAGTAATGATGGGCACACACCACTATAGGAAATTCAGAAGAAAAATTACATACGAGGAGCAGCCGGTCGGTTATCTGATTATTAGTATAGTGCTCTCAACAGCGGATTCCGGTTCAGTTAAAAAAAAAAAAAACAAAACAGGTGCAAGCTAGAAAATTTTTATTGTACATGAACACAACGTCCGACGTTCGCTCAACGTGTACAGTAATCGAATAGAGAAAATCGTGCATGACCAGAAGCAAAGAACAATCCAGGAGAAGGTGGCAGCGAACAAAGGAATCCTAAACAAGAAAGAATGTTTTCCATTGTTGGTTACATCGTGATACACGCTTTCATGGAAATGGCACAATAATTCGTCCAGTTTTCTCATAGTGTGTTACTATCACGTACCTGGTGATGGAGGCCAATGGAGAGAGGGTTTCCCTTGCGGCTAAGTTCCAGACTCCCTTGAGAGTGGGACAGCGGGAGTCTGGCCCAAAGTTGCACAGGTCGCCTGTAGGAGTGCTGGTTGGTGGTCCACTCAGAAGCACAGCTGGTGCACGGAGATAGGTCTGCAGACAGGAGGCGCCTGTGCGTGGTATGCAAGCCCTTCCGGGATTTGGATGTTTAATGGGTAGTCGGTTCAAGCCAAGCTCAGGTACCAGGTGGGAATCAGAACAGACGTAGTCAGATGGGATAGCCGAGGTCATTCACAGAGGAACGTGAGAGAGAGTATCCATAAGCCGAGCCGAGGTCAGATCGGGTAAATCAGAGTAGACAGGTCCAGGAGCAAGCCGAGTCGGTAACAGGAAATCACAGGTCAGAATCACAGGAACAGGGCACGAGGAGCTAGAGATCATCCAGCAACCAGAGGAAGTGATGAGCCTCCTTATAAAGGCCGTCTGGCACCAGACTGAGGCTGTTGTGTACTTCTGCGGCCATGTAGAGTACTGGCAGAAATGCCAGATCTTCCAGAAATTCTGCCGTGGACAGGACCTGACAGTTACCCCACTTCAGCCTCGGCCAGGTTCAGCCTGGCAATGAAGAGATTCGGTGTTGTATTTGAACAGTAAAAAGCTGATAGAAGTGTTATGTAATCCTAAAATGTAGAACTAAAATATATAGACGGCCTCCTTCCATTAAAGTGGTAGTAAACCTCTAAAAAGCAAAAAAACGAACAAAGCATATCCTTCTGTCATTTGTTCTTGCCTCTATCCAAAGCCCTGACCGTTATTTCTGTCTCCTCCCTCATTCCTCTTCACTTCTGACAATATTTCCCGACACCAGACAATACCAGGAGACAGCCCCGCAGCTCCTCCAGCACACAGCAGGTGATTGATGCCTCATCTGCGCATGTTTCCTTATGAGACTGTGGAGGAGGGGGTGTCTATTCCCTCCACTCAGGTCTCCGATTACACTTGGCTCCCTGCTCTATTCTGTGCATAGTAGGACATCCGATTCCCACCTTCTGAAGCTCAGAAATTCTGTTATACTTTGAACAGCTGTAGAGGAGAAAGGGCTGCAGATAAACAGGTAAAACTTTAATAAAAAAATACCCGTTTTGTACATGAACGCATATTAAACCCCCCAAAAATAGGTGGGGGGCGGAAGGGAGGAGGGTGACCCATTACAAACACTATAGGAATGATCGGGTGGCTTTACAGCTGCTAGAAATCCAACAGTTGGGAACAAATAGCTGCTATAGCGGCTGGGAGTTTGTTCACAGGCCGACGTAATAGTTGTGGCAGTGAAAGGGTTCGGGCTTGTTCACAGTTGGTTGAGACGCGATTTCCGTTCTGTCCATCATGGAGCCTCAGCGTCACAGGTGGGGCATTACCTATGCAGGTGTAGCCTGCCTAGCAACGCCCACTCCTCCAGATTGACGCCCACCCATCAAGGTATTTTGATATTTTCATAACTCCTCCCACTGCTTGCGTCAGGGCCGAGGGCTCTTGAGAGAAGTACTGAAGCAGGGGGCTGTGATGTTTTTAGGAAGCTATGCACAGCACCCTGGCGAACCTTCCCACCAGCCATGATCTGCTTGCATTGCATAGAGACTCGATGATAAAGTTTATAATCAAAGCTTTTCTTTATTTAACCACTTCCCTTCCAGCCACTGTATATAAAGGCTGTATGGCAGTCCAAGGGCGGGTTGCCATTCATAAACGGCGCCCGCCATTTTTGATTGTGCGTGCTCCCTGGGGAGCGCGCGGCACCGCGATCCGGTGCCCGCTGTGTCCTTCGATCGCTGTACGGGACCTCTGTGTGAGGTCCTGATCATGTGATCACTGATGGCCAATCACTGATCACATGAATAGGTGTAAGCAAGATTTCACTTCTGACATCATTGTTTACTACGTGTGAAATCTGTGAATGATCACAGAGATCACATGGTACAGGGCTATTCACAACAACTTCATCACCCCCCACAAGTAGTACAGTGTCAGTATGGTGACACTGTACTGTTAGGGTGACAGTATGTTTAAAAAAAAAAAAAGGTAAAGTTTTAAAAATTATAATTTTTGGTTATAAACTAATTTGGGTTTTTTTTTACTAAAAAGATAACCGAATACATTTTGGTCAAGATTTATGAAGAAAGATTTATTTGCTAAAAAATTCATATGGGGGTACAGTGTTGCATGACCGCGCAATTGTCATTTAAAGTGCGACAGTGCTGAAAATTGGCCTGGACTGGAAGGGGGGGGGGGGTAAGTGTCCAGACTGGAAGGGGGTGTGGAAGCGCCCGGACTGGAAGGGGGTGTGGAAGCGCCCGGACTGGAAGGGGGTGTGGAAGCGCCGGACTGGAAGGGGGTGTGGAAGCGCCCGGACTGGAAGGGGGTGTGGAAGCGCCCGGACTGGAAGGGGGTGTGGAAGCGCCCGGACTGGAAGGGGGTGTGGAAGCGCCCGGACTGGAAGGGGGTGTGGAAGCGCCCGGACTGGAAGGGGGTGTGGAAGCGCCCGGACTGGAAGGGGGTGTGGAAGCGCCCGGACTGGAAGGGGTGTGTGGAAGCGCCCGGACTGGAAGGGGGTGTGGAAGCGCCCGGACTGGAAGGGGGTGTGGAAGCGCCCGGACTGGAAGGGGGTGTGGAAGCGCCCGGGCTGGAAAGGGGGTGAAAGCGTCCGGGCTGGAAGGGGGGTGAAAGTGCCCGGGCTGGAAGGGGGGGGGGGGGGGAAAGCGCCCGGACTGGAAGGGGTTAAGAATTTATCGGCGTGTTGTTTAAAGAAGAATGAGGCATGATAGGCAAAATATAAGCAGATTAAACTTTAGCTGTAATCATTGGACGTTCTGTCCTCGGGAAGGTCTGTCTTGTACTGTCATACTGGTTAGTAAGGCACAACACAATCTGCTTTCATCCGTCTGACCGTCTAGCTGCAAATAATAAATCGGCCTCCAACCACCATGACGTTTCATGCTGTCAGCCTACTGCTCTCCTGAACATTGCTGTACTCATGACCTTGGATCTCATGTACATTATTTACCTTTTCATCTCTGATAGAAACTGTGCAGACAAGCTGCTGTATGTGGTACTGATATTTCAGGTCAGGTCCTGCTGGTGGGGATAGAAGAATTGGCAGCTGGCAAGTAGCCGGCTGGTTGTGATTTATTCTCTGTGTTTACATAGCTGGAAGTATGGCCAAAGTTCTTTTGGTCATACTTCTCTTGTGGGTCCCAGGAATACACTTGCGTGTGCACTCCTGTGACCCAGATTCAGCCGACAACAGGCTAAAGACACTCCAGACTCTCAAGGGATCCTGCAATAATGTCAGGATCCACCCAGATGCCTTACAGGCAACTGGCTCAGCCTCTGAGAGCCAGAATGCATGTGCATTGGCTCTGAAGAAGAGGCGCTTCCTCGAAACGTGTTAACCACCAGCTATCCAGAGGCTCCCAGTCCCCTACCAGACCACCCACAGGGGTTCCTGTACCACTCTGCATCCTTTGTGACATGTTTCCCATGTATATCTGACTTTACATCATTTTATCCTGTGAGGATTTTACTCTTTCAATAAATCCTATTTTTAAGGTAATGCACTAGGCCTGTGCGCCCTCTTTTTGTTTTCCACATACAGTTTTTGAGAGCCAGAGCCAACTGCTTCCACCCCCCCCTCCACAGCCCAGCTCTCCAGTGAGCACTGGAGGGGTAGAGAGTGGTGACTGATAGCAGTACTAATGTTTGGGACATTATGCATCCAGGGTCGAATGCCCGGACGTGGACTGGTTGCGTTCACAAGTAAGCAATGGCGTCAGGAAGTGACATCTTGTTTACTATTATTCATGTGTGATCACGGTGATAATTGGCCAATCAGTGATCACATAAATCGGGACTTCACACAGGTCCCATACATCGATCTGTGTTCCGGAGGTCCCAGGGAGCGCGCACAGGCAATGGATGCGGGGGGACATTTAGAAATGCCCTCCCTCGTCGGCAGCACTCCCCTCTGGCCGTTTATCGACATGGTCCAGACGGGGAGAGGTTAAAGATGGTGATATGATAAAGAGGTGATATGTGCTTAAACACTTCACGCCAGCCGCACACAAGTGTGCGGCCTCCCAGCGTCTGGGCCTAGACGCCGAGCGGCCGCACATTTGTGTGCAATTAAAAAAAAACCACTCCCCAGCACACATGTCCGGTACTCACGGAAAGGTCCTGATCTCCTCTTTCGATCGGGACCTTTCCCGATCGTGTGACAGCGAATCACGGCGGTCACATGTTCCTAAATCCCCACCCCGCCTCCCGGCTTCTGAAACCCTTTAAGGGCCGGGAGGCGCGGCGCTAAGGGGTTAAAGGTCAAAAACAAAGCAAATCATGAATAAACAAGTGCAAATAGTCCCATCAAATGCTTTCCTCCCATCACTTCATGCAAAGTGTTGTGTTCCACCACCACATGCAGATGAGCCTTTTACCCCAAGGTTAGGTCTCAAAGGAATGGAGGTCAACTTGCACTTTATATACTCCTCCCAATGGACCGACATAGAATGGGCAGAAATGCTTCCACGTATGTACTACCTGTATCGAATCCGGCAAATACTCTGGTCACAAAAATGTAGGCAAATGTAAGCACACAAGCACTGAGCCTCTCCAAGCCAACGGGCGTGAGGACGTCACCGCTGTAGCTCCGCCCTATGTGTTTCGTCCGCACAAACGTCTTCAAGAAGCATGGAGTGGATCTAAATATATTTTGTTTTATTTTTCCTATTGACACGAAGCACAGTTTTGTATCACATTGGTTTCAATCTTACTACAGTGCCTGTGGAGAATATAATGATCCCCTCGCAGAGGAAGTCAAAGGCACTGTCAGTGTTTTGGGGAGTCCGTTGCTAGGTCTAGGTGAAAGGACATCAGAATGGTAGGATGGACTTGATACCAGTATCAAAAAAAATGCCTGGAGGGTTCTCGCTTAGGAGAGGCACCTGTTCAGTGGATTCAATAAATGATGGGAATTGGGAAAGAAATCCAACAAATTAGAATATCAGGTAAACAGCAATAAATATTTATTTTACCAAGAAAAGTAGTGAAAGAGAGAAAAGCGGTGTGTCTGCAGCAAGGAAGAAAAGTCTATTCAGGAAAGCCCAATGCAGCACCCTCAATCCTGCAGCTCCCGATGACGATGGATATCCAGCATTGTGATACAGAGAAGATGAACTGAGGGATCTCATGCATTAAAAGAAGGATCTAACAGTAAATAAATGCTAAAAACACTTGGTGTGTCAGTCAAGACATGAAAAAGCAGCTTGGAGATGCAGCAGCAATATAGCCCTATGGCAATATAGCCAGTGGCAGGACTGTGGCAGTATAGCCCTATGGGACCATAGCCAGTGGTGGGATATTGACAGTATAGCCCTATGGGACCATAGCCAGTGGTGGGATATTGACAGTATAGCCCTATGGGACCATAGCCAGTGGCGGGACTGTGGCAGTATAACCCTATGGACCATAGCCAGTGGCGGGACTGTGGCATTATAGCCCTATGGGGACCATAGCCAGTGGCGGGACTGTGGCAGTATAGCCCTATGGGACCATAGCCAGTGGCGGGACTGTGGCAGTATAACCCTATGGGACCATAGCCAGTGGCAGGACTGTGACAGTATAGCCCTATGGGACCATAGCCAGTAGTGGGACTGTGGCAGTATAGCCCTATGGAACCATAGCCAGTGGCGGGACTGTGACAGTATAGCCCTATGGGACCATAGCCAGTGGTGGGACTGTGGCAGTATAGCCCTATGGGACCATAGCCAGTGGTGGGACTGTGGCAGTATAGCCCTATGGGACCATAGCCAGTGGCGGGACTGTGGCAGTATAGCCCTATGGGACCATAGCCAGTGGCGGGACTGTGGCAGTATAGCCCTATGGGACCATAGCCAGTGGCGGGACTGTGGCAGTATAGCCCTATGGGACCATAGCCAGTGGCGGGACTGTGGCAGTATAACCCTATGGGACCATAGCCAGTGGCGGGACTGTGGCAGTAAACCCTATGGGACCATAGCCAGTGGCGGGACTGTGACAGTATAGCCCTATGGGACCATAGCCAGTGGCGGGACTGTGACAGTATAGCCCTATGGGACCATAGCCAGTGGCGGGACTGTGACAGTATAGCCCTATGGGACCATAGCCAGTGGCGGGACTGTGACAGTATAGCCCTATGGGACCATAGCCAGTGGCGGGACTGTGGCAGTATAGCCCTATGGGACCATAGCCAGTGGCGAGACTGTGGCAGTATAGCCCTATGGGACCATAGCCAGTGGCGGGACTGTGGCAGTATAGCCCTATGGGACCATAGCCAGTGGTGGGACTGTGATTTAATCTGCTGGCTGTCATTGTTTCATTGTGTATAGTGGCTACAGTGCAATCTCCATGCAGACATTCTAGGACATGTATATAGTTCCTAATCAGGAAATTGTTTCTTGATGGTATATTTGATATACACATTTAGGTTGATTTCCCGGCATATATTATAAAGGGTAGTTGACTCCCAGGGATTCCTGCACTCTCTATATGTTGCCAAAGCCGTGGTTCACACTTCTGTGACTTAAAACTCACTTCAATGGAGGCCATTCCAATCAATGCGGCTCAAGCCGTAGCGACTTTTTAAAAAGTTCCCGCACTATTTTGCTGCAACATAGTCCCATAGGCTGTCATGTTGCATGCAAGTTGCACAACGAGGGGGTTGCCGCAGTGTGACCCAGACGTTGGGGAACTTATATTCGATAGAATAATGGAAAGTAATGTATAGATAGGTTGCTGTGGTGAAAGCTGAATATTAGTGATTGACATTAGTGCGGGGGGGGGGGGGCACAGGCACCATCTCGCAGTGATCTTATTGGAGGGTGCCATCCTTACAGTGATGTCACAGCTCAGAATGGGTAGATGGGGAACTCTCGTGGGATTTAGAGGAGTAAGTGCAGGTGAGGTACTATAATACTGCTTAGTGTCTTGCATAGTACAGGGGGGAGGGGGCGTACTGAATTTGTGAGGTCATGTAAGGAACCGCTGGGGAGAGATCATCGTTGTAGTAATGTTGTTATTCAGGAAAGGTAGGTGGGGGAGTTGTGGGCGCACTCGGGGTACTTGGGGAGCTTAGTTTACTATACTCACAGAATTCAGCCCTTTGTTAGTGCAAGTTATTGAAGTAGTGATTAGTGTCATACAAGGTACAGCGGTGGCCTACCATTCTTAGCGATGTTATTGGTCAGGCAGGGTAGGTGGGGCAGTTATTAGGAGCTCTTGGGGCAGTTAGGGAGCTTAGCTCCGTATACACACAGGATGCAGAGGTGTGCTAGTGCAGGTGAGTACTACAGTGATGATTAGCGTCCTACATGGCACATGGGGGGACCATCTTAGCTGTGATGTCATAAGCTCAGATAGGGTAGGTCTGGACAGTTTTGGGCAGCTCTCGGGGGATCTAAAATTCTTGGCTTTGTTTACAAACAAGATACAGTGATGTGTTGGTGCACCTGAGATACTGAATTAGTGATTAACGTCATATAAGGTACAGGTGGAACCATCATTATAGTAATGTTATTGTTCAGGCGAGGTAGGTTGGTCAGTTGTGGGGAACTCTCGGGGTATTTAGGGAGCTTAGTTCAGTTTGCAAACAGGATTCAGCCATTTGTTAGTGCAAGTAAGGTACTGAATTGGTGATTAGCGTCATGCAAAGTACAGCAGTGGGTACCATCCTTAGCGTCGTCATGCAAAGTACAGCAGTGGGGTACCATCCTTCCAGCAATGTTATTGTTCAGACAAGGTAGGTTGGGCACTTGTGGGTTACTCTCGGGGTATTTTGAGAGCTTAGGTCAGTTTGTAAATCGGATTCAGCCATGTCTTGGTGCAAGTCAGGTATTATTGATCAGCGGCATACAAAGTACAGCAGTGGGGGTACCATCCTTAGCGTCATGCAAAGTACAGCAGTGGGGTACCATCCTTAGCGTCATACAAAGTACAGCAGTGGGGTACCATCCTTACCGCAATGGTATTGTTCAGACAAGGTAGGTTGGGCACTTGTGGGTTACTCTCGGGGTATTTAGGGAGCTTAGGTCAGTTTGTAAATCGGATTCAGCCATGTGTTAGTGCAAGCCAGGTATTAGTGTTTAGCGGCATACAAAGTACAGTAGTGGGGTACCATCCTTACCGCAATGGTATTCAGACAAGGTAGGTTTGGCAGTTGTGGAGATCTCTTGGGGTATTTAGGGAGCTTAGGTCAGTTTGTAAACATGATTCAGCCATGTGTTAGTGAAAGTCAGGTATTTGTGATTAGCGTCATACAAAGTACAGCAGTGGGGTAGCATCCTTACCACGATGTTATTGTTCAGACGAGGTAGGTTGGTCAGTATGGGGTGCTCTCAGGGTATTTGGGGAGCTTAGGTCAGTTTGTGAACAGGATTCAGCCATTTGTTAGTGCCAGTGTATTAAATTGGTGATTAGCGTCATACAAAGTACAGTCAGTGGGGTACCATCCTTAGATGATTTGTGTCATGGGGCACCATCCTTCATGATGTTATTGTTCAAAGGTAGGAGGGGCAGTTGTGGGGCACTCTCGGGGCATTTAGGGAGCTTAGTTCAGTTTGTAAACAGCCATTTGTTGGTGCAAGTCAGGTATTAGTGATTTGCGTCATACAAAGTACAGCAGTGGGGTACCATCCTTAGCGTCATACAAAGTACAGCAGTGGGGTACCATCCTTAGCGTCATACAAAGTACAGCAGTGGGGTACCATCCTTACCGCGATGTTATTGTTCAGAAGAGGTAGATTGGTCAGTTGTGAGGCACTCCCGGGGTATTTAGGGAGCTTAGGTCAGTTTGTAAACATGATTCAGCCATGTGTTGGTGCAAGTCAGGTATTATATTGGTGATTAGCGTCATACAAAGTACAGCAGTGGGGTACCATCCTTCCCGCGATGTTATTGTTCAGACGAGGTAGGTTGGGCAGTTGTGGGGTGCTCTCGGGGTATTTGGGGAGCTTAGTTGACTATATATAGGATGCAGCAGTATTAGTGGAATTGCGTTACTATATTAGTGATTAGTATCTGGTGGTATGGGGAACCATGGTATGGGGTATGGTGGTGGGGGAACCATCATAGCAGTGATCTTGTTGCTCAGACCGGGTAGGTTGACAGTTGTTGGGAGCTCCTGGGGAGTTGAGAGAGCTTAGCTCAGTATCCACACAGGCTACAGCATCGTCTGTCCATCTTCTCATTCTGTTTTTCTCCCACAGATCCTGTGCGCGCTCGGAAGTGCGCACAACGTGCCAGAAAACAGCGTGAACCTCATCGGATACCTTCCAGGTGAGTGTACGGTTTTCTCCCGGCTACTAGATTGAAGTGTAACTGAGCTGAACTGTCGTCGCATATCGAGGTTTCTAGGCAGGAGAATCTAGCGCTAGATGACATACCTTCCTAGTACAGCATATTACAAGTGTACGGCCTCATTCACCAAGGGCACGCCTGCCTTCAGCTTCTCTATAGTGAGGTATCCTTGGAAGTACAACCTAATTTCTATACCTGCCAGATCACTTTTTTTTTTCCTGAACTCTCCGAATTCTTATTTTCTCTAAACTAAGCTAAATTTCACCGAAAGAGGAGATAAATTAAAACGATTGCTTACATTTATATGCTTTTTGGAAATGTCCCGTAAATGCAGATTTGACAGTGCCAGTGTGAATGAGGCCCAAGGCGTTAGGGTTTCTTGGCATCTTGTTTTCATATAGAAATGGTGCTCCATGAAATGAGAATTGTGCCAGAAGAAGAGATGGGGGCTGTGTGGACATTTTACTAGATTAGCTATTAAAAGCTATAACATTCTGTCATTATGGGGAAAACTGCAGCAGACGAGAAGCGCAGACACCTGCAGGTGCATAAATATAAAAAAAAGGTTTATTATGGCACAAAAAAAGATGATTCATAAACTAAAACAGCATTTTTTCTTTTAAAGAAAATCCCATTATAATGTCCATAAAAATGTCTATAAATCTAAGCATTCACAATAAGATGGCCGCAGCTTCTCTGGCACAGTTGAGAATAATCCTCTGTATGCTGTTAGAGAGAGAAAAGACAGGGGGCGCCACTATCTAAGTGTAGACTATATTGTAACACAAAAAAGTTAGAGTTGCACTCACAGACAGAGGCTGTTAAAGGCGCGTCAAATCATCCTATGAGCATCTGCAGAGTTCGGTATGGGAGCAACTGGGTGTTGCAGAGTAGTGACTGGAAGCAGCTGTAATTATGCAAGAAGCGCTGTCGGTCCATTCTGGTGCCAGAAATGCGTAGCTACGCCCTCCGCCTTTGACGTCATCCCACTACCACATTGTAACAGGCCCCAAACACCCACAACTGGGTATCTCCATCAAGTAGCTGCTTCTCGGGCTCTGGAACATGAGACCAGTGAATCTGGCTATTGTTACCCCAAGATCCAGACGACACCAGATTTGAAGCAAGCCAGAGTAGACTAGTTTATTTGAACACAGGTACAAGAGATATACACTTGGGGGACAATCCCCCCTCCCTGCATAATGACACAGGGCAGGGCAATCTACCTTTAGTAACAAGAGACACACAGGTATTCAAACTTCACACCAGCAAACAGTCCCATCAGGAGGGAGGGCTGCTGGAGACACCCCCACACTAAGCTAATACACATAAACACATACATCCCATAATAGTTTGCTCCCAAGCAAGACACACAATAGAACAATGGGATGCAGCCCCATAACACCAAACAATCCACAACCCCCCACCCCAATATTAGGACAGATCACCCTGTACCCCTAACAGGCACAGAGTTACTTACACATAATAGGGATATGGAAAGCTGAGACGGGTCTCCCCACCTCTCCAAAGTGAGCTGGGTTCCATGGGTCCCCCACACCAAAGTGACTCCCGTCACACACATCACTCCCAGTTTCCTGGGCAGCTGGTGAGTCACTCCAAGACGCTTCCTTCTTCAACTTTGCACTGCCCGGCGCTACTCCGCAACACTCGGCCGCTCCCCTGCCGAACTCTGCAGATGCTCACAGGTGATTTTGATGTGCCTTTAACAGCCTCTGTATGTGAGTGCAACTTTGAACTTTCTTAATTGTGTTACAAAAAAGTCTACACTTAGATGGTGGCGCCCCCTGTCTTTTCTACCAGCAGGTGCATGTACTTTCAGCAGTGTCCCAAATCTTTCGCTGCCAAACTCCAAAAACAAGCACTCCTGGTACGTGAGGGTAGCTTGGGAACTTGCCTCAGGGACCCATCCAAACACATTCCTACTGGCCCATCAAAAACACATTCCTACTGGCCCATCAATAGGAATGAACTGGAAAGGGCAGAATGGTTTCAACACTCGCAGGAAGTGCTGATGCTTTGCCTATCAGGATTTGGCCATGAGAGGAAGGTCTGGTGGGTTGCTGTCGGTAAGTGCCATCACTTTTGCTTGCAGCAGTTTGCTACGTTCTCCCAGCGATCATACATTTTATTTTGTATTTTCCTGCCTCTGCTGTGGCCATTTGTACAGTGTTAGTCTAGACCAGGGGTGGGCAAACTTTTTGACTTGAGGGCCACAATGGGTTCATATATTGGACCCGGGGGCCGGACCAAGAGTAGATGAATGATGTGTATGTGTCATCCAGTAAGTAAGTATAGTAATATTCCCCCATATAGTAATTAAGCATATAGTAATTCATCCCCCATATAGTAATTCATCCCCCATATAGTAATTCATCATCCCCCCCCATCCCCCCTATAGTAATTCATCCCCCCTATAGTAATTCATCCCCCCTATAGTAATTCAATTCATCCCCCCTATAGTAATTCATCCCCCCCTATATTCATCCCCCATATAGTAATTCATCCCCCCATATAGTAATTCATCCCCCCTCATCCCCCATATTAATTCCCTAAGTCCCCCCCTGTGTCAATTCACTTACCTTTGCTCCGCGTGTTCCTCTCGCCGTGTTCCCGCGCCGTTCCGGTCTTCAGGGCGGACTGTGAGAGGAGCCTAGCTCCCCTCCCCTCACGTTCCTCACGCTGCCCTGCCTACACACATTCTGACAGCCGATGTTTGCCACGCTCCGCGGGCCGGATTAAAAGGTCCGCCGCCGGGCCCGTAGTTTGCCCATTGCTGGTCTAGACTAGGACAGAGATCTACAGGAGGAGTACAGGAATCCCCAGAGGAGTACAGGAATCCCCAGAGGAGTACAGGAATCCCCAGAGGAGTACAGGAATCCCCAGAGGAGTACAGGAATCCCCCAGTACAGGAGGAGTACAGGAATCCCCAGAGGAGTACAGGAATCCCCAGAGGAGTACAGGAATCCCCAGCCTCCTGAGTTTAGCATCCTTGTCTGATACGACATCTTCCCCCAGCAATGATCAGCAATTTCCAGAATGCCAGAAAATTGTTAGAGACTTGGTTCCTCAACTACTGCTATTAAAGCTGAACTCTGGCATTTTTGTAAATACCTTTTGCAGCGTTTGGGTGTTCTTATTATTGACTGTTTGATCGTGTTAATATGGCTCATGTACTTTCAATTTAGATATGTCCTGTGTGCAGAAAACATTTTACAGAATGAAGTGGACTAAATTACTCCTTGTGCAAATTCTGAATGTAACGGGGGTTGTTAATAAAATGTATTCTTGATCCCCTTACTTTCCCTAAAGGGGCTAAATGAACAAACGAAACCAGCGCTCAAATCTTCATGCAGACTAGGATAACTAAAAACTGTCATTCGTAGAGGTGCAGCCCTTAAAGATCGGGAAATCTTGATACTGGTGGACAAAAGCAGAACAGGACGCACTCTCTTCCTGCATTAATGTAGTAAACCAAGAATTTATTAGGAAGCATAAAAATGCATACTCACAAACCAAAGGGGGATAAAAACAGACCAGAAGAGTCCGTAATGACAGTCCAAAGTGACGGTAGACCCTTGGTGAGGTAGGCTAATGCGCTTCGAGAAACGAACGTTCTTCTTCAGAGCTCTGAAAAAGGGAGTTTGTTTCCTGAAACGCTTTGGCCTAACTCACCAAGGGTCTACCGTCACTTTGGACTGTCATTACGGACTCTTTTGGTCTGTTTTTACCCCCCTTTGGTTTGTGAGTATGCATTTGTATGCTTCCTAATAAATTTTTGGTTTACTACATTAATGCAGGAAGAGAGTGCGCCCTGTTCTGCTTTTGTTCTCTAAGGGACTCCCTGGAGATAAAACAATATATATATTTGTTTTTTCAGAATTGTCGTTCTTTTTTTGTTTGCATCCCAAAAAATTTAAAATGCACAGACGATCAAATACCATTGAATGAAATGAATTGTGGGGAAAAAAGGATGCAAATTTCATTTGGGTGCAGAGTTGCACAACTGCGCAATTGTCAGTTAAAGTAACGCAGCGCCGTATAGAAAAAAATGGCCTGGTCAGGAAGGGGGGGGATTCTCTGGAAGGCAAGTGGGATCATGCTCCCAGCCTCACAGGAACACACGATCTTTCATTCCTCATATGACGGAACAGAGCTCTGTCTTGTTTACATAGGCAGAGCTCTGTTCTTTGTCCCTGCCGGACGATCGGAGGGTGCCGGTGAACATCCGGTACTCGCAGATCGGCTTCTACTGTGAGTGTTCACAACAGAAGCAAGCCGAGCGTGCCTCCTCTGCTGGAAGTACAAAATTCGCACAGGAGGGCTGCCTAAAGTGATTAATGGTTGCTTTCGTAGGCAGAGCTCTGTTCTTTGTCCCTGCCAGACGATCGGAGGGTGCCGGTGAACATCCGGTACTCGCAGATCGGCTTCTACTGTGAGTGTTCACAGCAGAAGCGAGCCGACGTTGGCGCACGCACGCCTCCTCTGGCGGAAGTACAAAATCCATACAGGAGGGCTGCCTAAAGTGGTTAATGTCAGCTGAGATGCAGTGGCTGCATAGACACAACCGCTTCCCCCAATTTGACATCCTTGCTGGTGCGGGTGCATGGCCCCGAACACGTTGGGGCCATGCACCTGCACGGATGTCAAGGGAGCAGCTTTTAGGTCCCAGTTGACACGAATGGGACTTGCTGCACGAGTGCATCACCATGCAGATAAACGCAGCCCTTGCACGAGTGTACGCTGTAGTACGCCTGTGTGAACGAGGCCTTACAGGGCCGGCTCCTGCTGGTGAACGGAGATCATGTGTGTTCCATCAGGACAGGCCATTCATGCAAAGCACATGTCACCACACCTGCATTATTTTTTCCAACAAAACACACCGCCGCATGGCGTGCAGACGCATCCAAAGTGTGTTCCTTTGAAGTTCCATTCATAAAGAATGTGTGCAGTGTGAAGCCAGCCTTCGAGGTGCCCCCACCCCTGGGATATGAGGCCTGCATATCATCCTTCCATCCAATCAGTCCTCAACGACCTCTATTAAAACTTTTATCAGCGTCACGTGTGTCCAGCGTATTCAATACTCTACTACGTGGGAATTTTCCACATTCTCTTTTTAAGGGTGGGAATGTCAATTGCATTCTTCATTTTTATCCTCTAGCAAGATCTTATCAATTAACAAAACCGAATTTTCCTTCTAAAGAATTTTTTTTTTTTTTTTTAAGTTTTTACAGGATGATTTAAAGCGGAGTTCCACTCATCCTGTCAAAAAATAAGTCAGCAGCTACAAAAACTGTAGCTGCTGACTTTTAAAGACACCTGTCCCTCGGTCTCGTGGTGTGTCCCCCACAGCCCGTTTTACTGGCCGTCCTGGATTCCAGGAGGCCGGCATTTTCAGTATGGGCCCACGGCTGTGACAGCTTGTGGGTTCACAGCCGGGTGCCCACTGCGCATGCGTGAGAAGCTCTGCGCTTTGTGAATGGCCCCCGTAGTATTCTGGGACCTGTCACATGTCCTAAAAGACTACCGGGAGGGAGGAGACCTGTTTCCGATATCCTAGGCCAGGGGTAGGCAACCTGCAGCTCTCTAGCTGTTGTGGAACTACATTTCCCATGAGGCACTGCAAAGATTACAAAACTGACAGTTACAGCTATGACTTGCAGCCTGCGGCTCTCAGGTTGCCTACCCTGGCCTAGGTGATCGGACCGGAAATGGGAGCGGGTACCTGTCAAATTTGGGTACCTGCTCCCCCGACCCCCCAAAGGTGCCAATCCTTAATGGGGAGCAGTCCTTAAAGCGGAACTTCCCCCTTTGGGTGGAGCTCCACTTTAAGGTGGTTGTAAAGGTGAAAGGTTTTCTACCTTAATGCGTTCTCTACATTAGGGTACAAAACCTTTTAAATGCAGCTCCCTCCGCAGCCCACCTGAGCCCGATCTTGGTTCAGTGCTGTGCACATCTGCAGCACCTCTTCTCCCATCTCTCATAGGCTTGGCTGACATCAGCAGAAGCCAGTGGCTCCTTCTGCTGTCAGTCAAACCCTGTGAGTGGGGGGTGGGGCTCAGCTGGGCTGTGTGTCAGAATAGACGCAAACAGCTCAGTTCGGGAGGAAGCCCACACGCGTTCCCCCTATGGCACGGGTTTCAAACTGGCAGCCCTCCAGCTGTTGCCAAACTACAAGTCCCATGAGGCATTGCAAGATTGACAGTTACAAGCATGACTCCCAAAGGCAGAGGCATGATGGGACTTGTAGTTTTTCAACAGCTGGTGGGCCACCAGTTTGACACCCCTGCCCTATGGGAAGCGACTTCCTATGGGGGGGCAAGTGTACAATCCAAATGCATATGTTCCTGTGTTAAAAATGGCGGTGTGTATAAGTGGGTGCTGCAGCGACCGTCGGCTGGAACTGAACAGAATCAGCAAGGGAGAATGTCACCAGCACACCGAGGATCACCAATATGGGTCCAAATGTGTTAATGAACGATCACATAGTTACAGCAAGGCAACGTTTCGGAGTCTCGCAGGACCCCTTCATCGGGCGTGTGATGATGCCTGATGAAGGGGTCCTGCGAGACGCCAAAACGTTTCTTTGCTGTATGTGATCGTTTATTAAAACTTTTGGAACCCTATTGGTGATCCTCGGTGTGCTGGTGACATTCTCCCTTCCTATGGGGGGGGCACTCGGCGAATGAGAGGAGCCAAGAGCGCCGGTGGGGAACCCGAAAAGAGGAGGATTGATGCTGCTCTGTGCAAAACCATTACCCAGAGCAGGTGAGTATAACATGTTTGTTATTTTAATTGAAAAAAGGAAGCTTTACAATCATTTTAAATGTTTGGCAAAGTCTTTAATATTACCCAAATCACCTGAGCTACGGCAAAGTTTAGTCTTGTTAGCTTTGGAATATACACTCACTGGTCACTTTATTAGGTCCACCTGTTCAGTTGTGTGGTAACACAAATTACTAATCAGCCAATCGCATGGCAGCAATGCATTTAGGCATGTAGATGTGGTGAAGACAACTTGCTGAAGTTCAAACCGAGCATCAGAATGGGGAAGAAAAGGGATTTAAGTTACTTTAAACGTGGCATGGTTGTTGGTGCTAGATGGGCTAATCGCAGTATTTCAAAAACTGCCGATGTACTGGGATTTTCTGCACAACCATCTGTAGGGTTTACAGAGAACGGTCCGAAAAAAAAAAGAAAAATATTCCGCGAGCTGCAGTTGTGTGGAGGAAAATGCTTTGTTGAGGTCAGAATGGGCAGACTGGTTTGAGATGATAAAAAGGCAACAGTACCTCAAATAACCACTCGTTACAACCAAGGTATGCAGAATACCATCTCTGAACGCACAACACGTCGAAACATGAAGCCGATGGGCTACAGCAGCAGAAGACCACCCCCGGGTGCCACTCCTGTCAGCAGAAGACCACCCCCGGGTGCCACTCCTGTCAGCAGAAGACCACCCCGGGTGCCACTCCTGTCAGCAGAAGACCACCCCGGGTGCCACTCCTGTCAGCAGAAGACCACCCCGGGTGCCACTCCTGTCAGCAGAAGACCACCCCGGGTGCCACTCCTGTCAGCAGAAGACCACCCCGGGTGTCCACTCCTGTCAGCAGCAGAGACCACCCCCGGGTGCCACTCCTGTTAGCTAAGAACAGGAAACCGAGGCTACAATTCGCACAGGCTCACCAAAATTGGACAATAGAAGATTAGAAGAACGTTGCCTGGTCTGAGTCTCCATTTGAGCTGCAATATTCAGATGGTAGCGTCAGAATTTTATACAAAAACATGGAAGTATGGATCCGTCCTGCCTTGTACCAATGGTTCAGACTGGTATTGGTGTGTCATGGTGTGGTGGATCCATCCTGCCTTGTATCAATGGTTCAGGCTGGTGGTGATGGTGTCATGGTGTGGTGGATCCATCCTGCCTTGTATCCACAGTTCAGGCTGGTGGTGGTGTCATGGTGTGGATCCATCCTGCCTTGTATCTATGGTTCAGGCTGGTGGTGGTGTCATGGTGTGGTGGATCCATCCTGCCTTGTATCTATGGTTCAGGCTGGTGGTGGTGGTGTCATGGTGTGGTGGATCCATCCTGCCTTGTATCCACAGTTCAGGCTGGTGGTGGTGTCATGGTGTGGATCCATCCTGCCTTGTATCTATGGTTCAGGCTGGTGGTGGTGGTGTCATGGTGTGGTGGATCTATCCTGCCTTGTATAAACGGTTCAGGCTAATGGTGTGGTGGATCCGTCCTGCCTTGTATCAACAGTTCAGGCTGGTGGTGGTGTCATGGTGGGGAAGATTTTCTTGGCATGAACAAGGTGGACCTAATAAAATGGCTGGCGAGTGTAGACTGTTCATGGCTACTCTGATCGTGACTTTGCTGCTTAGAGGGGCCTTTTTCAACTTCTTTAACCCCTGAGGAAAATTTGAAGTCTTGGGGAACCCCGCTAGACTTGATTCTTCCTACAGCTCATGGTACATTAAACTGATCAGTAAGTTGAAGAAAAATTTAAGTAAACAAATACGTAGTGTGTGGTGTACTTACCATAAACAAAACAATTTTCAGAAATATCTTGAAATGAATAAGCACTGCATAGAAAGGAAGACAGTAAAAACCTGTGATGCCCTGTAACATTAGTGGTCATTGTAGAAGAGTCCCTTTTCATTGGCGGTAAGTGGAAAATCACCCTTTGGGGTCATTTGTAGGTAGGAGAGCAATCCACCATTGCTCAAGGAACCCCTGGAAACCTCAGGAGGAACCCTAGGCCTTCCGTTGAACCCTGGTTGAGAAACACCGGCCCAGAGTGTCCATTTTGCTCACAGGAGCTCTTCAGATTGTCATCGGAATGATGGCTGGTGAGGATTTGCTCATACATGGATCGTGTTTTCCATGGTTGACTCCCTCACCCCAATGAAAAACCTATTTTTTTTTTTTTTTTTTTTTTGCCTTTTAGAGCAGATATTGATGAGATTTTGTTCTTCAGGTTTTTTTTTTCTTTGGTATCAGAGGTAATGCAAAGGTCCATTTCTTGTAGATATCCGTATTGCTCTTTGTTCAAACATCTTTCTGTATGATGATTCCGTTGCATATACTGTATATGACCTAAGGATCAAATGATTTGCTATGTTTCTTGGGAGGGCTGTGTATTGATGACTGGTCCTGTTTTCTTCATGTTATACTAACTGGCATCCCGTCTGTATCACATGCTGTCCCCAGGTTACAGCCTCGGCTCTGTCTGCGTGGAGTTTTCCCTCGTGGAAGAGGCCGTCGGATGCATGGAAGCCAACAAGGTTGCTTTACCCACCGGTTCAGCGCTGCTGTGGAAGGATGGACAGGAGGGAGGGGGATGAGGGAAAGGGCTTCAGGTGGCACTCGCAGAGGGTTAACAAGTGTGCTGGGGCATCCGTGACTGACACACTTGTGTATCTTTTGTGTGCCACGCACTGAACATGTGTGTGATGGTAGCACGCTGCCTGTATCTGTGGCTGCGGAGTTCTCCATGGCATGCCACCAGGAAACGGCATGGAGTAGAGAGGGAATCCTCAGCTAAAGTGGTGTTAAAGGCCAACTCCAGACTTAATAAATAAAATTCCATTTTATTTATTCAGCATTAGAATGAAGAAAAAAAAAAAAAAAAAAAAAAATCCGCTCACTGCAATACTCCCCTACTATCCGGCGCTGTCCCCAGCAGACACTCCGTTCAGCAGCGCCACTTCTCTTCTAGGTTGAATGACACCCAGCGTCCTTCAACTCACTTTCTGTAAGTCCAGGCTGTCAGACACTCCTATCGCTCTGCCTGGGCTGATGGGGCTCACATGTCATAGCATGAGCACCATTCTATCTAGCAGTGAGGACCACTTAAAGTGGTATTAAACCCTCTTTTTTTTTTTCACCTTGCCTAATTTATGGGATAATGTTTTGTTAGAGTATTTCCCGAGTCACAAATTGGTTTCATAAAAGCTACTCGCTCCTTATCTCCCAGTACCGCTTCCCTGAACTTCTTGCTGGGTGTAAGTATGTCTCTGACAGCTGGGATACCCCGTCCTCTTCCTGACTCCCCTCCATTCGCAGGTTATGTTACAAGCAGCGCACTGTAAACCTCATATAGAGGTCACATGTCCCATAATCCTTGGCACCGTGAAAACCAAGCGCATGCATGCCCAGTGTAGAGTTTCTGCTGGTGTCTTTGTCTCCACAGCAATTTTTGGAGCTACCCCTTCCCTGGAGGAGCTGGGGGAGTGGCCTACCTTCCTAAGCCTAGAATCTGCCTGTTCGTGTTGGCGCACAGAGCGTCAGCACTTCAGGTTGCAATCTGGAGCGCACTCATGAGTGTGTCTACAGCGGGTCTCCGGAGGGACCCTGCAGGGCAACCTAGCCACCCTAAGGCTTGATTCGCACAGGCTTCAGCTTGTGTAAGAGCAGTGTGTACAACAAGCTTTGACGAAGCATTTGCAGAGCTTTCAGCGAGCTTTGTTGAAGCTTTTAAAGTACCATTCAGTTCCTGTTTGTAATTGTTGACCACAGATCCTAATGGAGGGCTGATTGCCACTTTAAGCAAGCTGCTAGCAGACTTTCAAGAACTGCTGACGCCTGCCAATAGCTTGTTAAAGTGGCAATTAGAGGCATGGTGAAGTAATTTTTTGTCACAATTTTTTGGAAATGAAGAAAGCAAATAAAATATTTTTTTTTTTTTTTCACATTTTTTAAATACTGTAACCAGTGCAGCACAGCCTCATCATATGACTGGTGTGGCTGGTAGCAGGCATACTGGATGGTGGCAGTATGTGTGTAAAAAAAAAAAAAGAAAAGAAAACATCTTTAAAACCTTTTTTTTTTTCTATTTTTACTTTTTTTTTCTTTTTTTTTACTTTTTTTCAATTTTTTTTTCTTTTTTTTTACTTTTTTTTTTTTTCAATTTTTTTTTTTTTTTTACTTTTTTTTTTCTATTTTTTTTTTTTTTTTTTTTTACATCCTGTCATCAGAGTAACTCCGTGTCACCATAGTTGACACTGCACTGCTCTGTAAGGGCTCGTTCACACTTGACTTTATTTCTAACTCTTGCCAAACGCCATATATCGTTTGACAAGCGTTAGGCGTTTGTGAAGCGTTTTTTATTGCTCCGCAAACGCTCCAAAAACACCCTATGCGCGGTTTTGTGGCGTTTGCCATGTGTTAAAACCGCACCAAAAAAGCCTATAATGAAAGTTTAAACGGTGTTAACGCTCCGCAAACGCCTCGCAACTGCACCGCGAATGCAGGCCAGGCGTTTGCGGAGCTGCGCCATGGACTTGAATGG